GCAAAACAAACACACATTCTCAATGCTGGAGATACATCTGTTGCAAAGTCACAATCAAGACAACCCCAAAGAGAAGCACTTATGAACACAAGAATCACACTGTCTCCATTTGAGGTGATCTGAATGTGGTTTAATATAGTTGTCTTCATTTACAGTCTGTCTTATTTGCCATTGAAACCGTCCTAACAAGTAGCGCTTACCTAACCAGCTCAGTGCGGACGTGTCCACTTTTCACATCCAAGACAACCCCAAAGAGAAGCACTTATGAACACAAGAATCACCAGTGGCTCCATTTGAAGTTATCTGAGAGTGATTCTTCCTAAGAATCTCTTGAAATCATGCAGTTGATTTTGTCAAATAAAACTGCCCCAACAAGTAGCACTTACTGATTCAAGTGACAAGCCAATGCTCGAGTTAGGGTAATACTAATGACGGATTTGGGGAATAAAAGGAAGCCAGATAGAGTACATGTCTTGATTGATAAACATGGACAGGAAACATTGCCCTGCTGAGCCTTGAAATCTGGGATTTTGGTGGTCAGCAACATTACCCAACAAGTAGCACTTACTGCATTCATATTCCAAGTCAGTGCATGTGTTTAGGAAATGCTGGTGACAAATTGATAATTCAGCCAGTCATGCAAAAACAAACACATTCTCAATGCTGGAGATACATCTGTTGCAAAGTCACAATCAAGACTACCCAAAGAGAAGCACTATGAACACAAGAAATCATCACTGTCTCCATTTGAGGTGATCTGAATGTGGTTTAATATAGTACTGTATTCATTTACAGTCCGTTTTATTTGCCATTGAACTGTCCCAACAAGTAGCGCTTACCTAATTTAAAAGTCAAGTACATGCCCAAGTCAGGTCAATATCCCAGGCACAAAATGCACAATTGCTTGTTCGCTTCTCCAGCTCTTTCTTCTGGCATGTTCTGTGTTGATTCCCCGTTGCAGTAGAAGTTGTGACTGGTTCACATATTTGGCCATCTTTTATTCTCAAGGCAGCCATTTCAACCCAAGTCCGCCTTCATTTTTAACAGGTTTCAATGGTCTTGATAATTGGTCATAGACAATTGGAATACCTGTACTTGGAGAAAAGGCCATCAACATGCAAGTAATTTGGCATGCACAGAGGGCTAATCAGTGGGTGTTATGTCATTCTGATCCAAGCCTCCTTCAGCTGCAAAGTTTTCAAAAAATAAAAGCAACTTTAAGAACAATTTATGTAAAACTTTCATTCATTTTCATTTTCATTTTCTTTCCTTTAAAACAATCTTTATATCTAAGGGTTCTCTCTAAGTGCATCTCAGACTTCCTGAACATGCAGAGGTCAGTAAAACTACCCAACAAAAAGCACTTACTGCATTTATACCAAAGTTAGTGTTTATGTTAGGGTAACAATACTGACCAGATCGAAATATTGATCATCAAATTGTGTGGCATTCAATTCCAGTAGATATAACCCAAGATGCCTGCCAATGTATTAGTTATGGAGTCAGACAATATCATAGGTTGATGTACAACTCGTGTCCACTTTTCACATCCAAGACAACCCCAAAGAGAGGCACTTATGAACACAAGAATCACCAGTGGCTCCATTTGAAGTTATCTGAGAGTGATTCTTCCCTAAGAATCTCTTGAAAATCATGCAGTTGATTTTGTCAAATAAAACTGCCCCAACAAGTAGCACTTACTGATTCAAGTGACAAGCCAATGCTCGAGTTAGGGTAATACTAATGACGGATTTGGGGAATAAAAGGAAGCCAGATAGAGTACATGTCTTGATTGATAAACATGGACAGGAAACATTGCCCTGCTGAGCCTTGAAATCTGGGAGTTTGGTGGTCAGCAACATTACCCCAACAAGTAGCACTTACTGCATTCATATTCCAAGTCAGTGCATGTGTTTAGGAAATGCTGGTGACAAATTGATAAATTCAGCAGTCATGCAAAAACAAACACACATTCTCAATGCTGGAGATACATCTGTTGCAAAGTCACAATCAAGACTACCCCAAAGAGAAGCACTTATGAACACAAGAATCATCACTGTCTCCATTTGAGGTGATCTGAATGTGGTTTAATATAGTACTGTATTCATTTACAGTCCGTTTTATTTGCCATTGAAACCGTCCAACAAGTAGCGCTTACCTAACCAGCTCAGTGCGGACGTGTCACTTTTCACATCCAAGACAACCCCAAAGAGAAGCACTTATGAACACAAGAATCACCAGTGGCTCCATTTGAAGTTTTCTGAGAGTGATTCTTCCTAAGAATCGCTTGAAAATCATGCAGTTGATTTTGTCAAATAAAACTGCCCCAACAAGTAGCACTTACTGATTCAAGTGACAAGCCAATGCTCAAGTTAGGGTAATACTAATGACGGATTTGGGGAATAAAGGAAGCCAGATAGAGTACATGTCTTGATTGATAAACATGACAGGAAACATTGCCCTGCTGAGTCTTGAAATCTAGGAGTTTGGTGGTCAGCAACATTACCCCAACAAGTAGCACTTACTGCATTCATATTCCAAGTCAGTGCATGTGTTTAGGAAATGCTGGTGACAAATTGAATCACCAGTGGCTCCATTTGAAGTTATCTGAGAGTGATTCTTCCCTAAGAATCTCTTGAAAATCATGCAGTTGATTTTGTCAAATAAAACTGCCCCAACGAGTAGTACTTACTGATCAGTTTTGGATTTTTTTTAAGATTTATTTTTGGGGTTTTTGTGCCCTTTAGGAGAGATAGGACAGTGGATAGAGTCAGAATCATGGAGAGAGAGTGAGGAATGACATGCAGGAAAGAAGCCCCAGGTGGGATGTGAACCCGGGCTGCCGCTTGAGAAGACAGCCTCCATACATGGGGCGCACACACTAACCACTGCCCCACCAGCACCCATTACTGGATGCTCCTGATGTGTCAATTTAGAGCTTTACACATCCTGATTTTAAATGACAATATCAATGTTGCAGAACCCTTGCCTTTGAAAGCTTTGAAAATATACTGGGAGTACTGGTTTGGGTGTGGTGGCCGTAGGATTTATTATGTTATGTATTAGTAGAGCATTGGGCACAATTGGGATCATGGTTTCTTCACTGAGAACTTATCTCTTCATTAGGGCACAAGTATCTTGTGTTTATTTCAATACTGCGTAATAACTGAGTTATTGAGTTTTAGTGGGCCTTGAAAGGCGAACCCAGGACTCAATTTCTCATCAACCACAAAGAAAAGCACTTATAAGCACAATAATCCTGCATGGCTGAATTTGCAAAAAAATCTGATCAGATTCATGGTGGAAGACATTGTGACACTGTGTTGCTATGTTACTAGGGGAACAACATCTTCAGATGGCGCCTTGTTTTCATCCTTGAATTTACTTCATGCAGCCCTTCTTCCTTGGATTAATGCCTGTTACCTAGCTCCTACTTCCCTTTGGCCTCAATTTATCATGAATGATGACACATTCAGTGCCAGGCAACGTGTAAATTCGCAGTGTTAAATATATAAAAATAAATAATTAAGTCATTCTGTGATGCAATGCACAATACTTTATATGACTACGTTCAAAGAATGTTTGTTCAGGCTACAGCCACAAGTATAATCCATTAGTTGGTTAAACACAAGAACAAACAACAAGAAAAAAATCCTTAATACAATTAAATGTTCAATCCAAGCTATTATTTACATACGTTTTTCCAACGTTTACTTGTCATGTTGTTCATATAATTTGTGTTCTACCAAATCACCTGATATATATTCTATATATAAAGAAAGCATTGACATAATTTCAAGATCAAGTTGGAAATGATTACTTAAATTCAATTTAAAAAATGGATCTAAAATGACCGGGACTGTCAATGTAGCCTATTTCACTGGACCCCTGTAGGTGGCGGTAATGCTTTAGTTCGTCGTTTTTACCACTATCTATAAATCCCTAGAAGAAGCAGACGGAGTAAAACGTGTATCAGCTGAGCTGGCTGATGTGAAAACCTTATCTCATAATACGTGATATTAGACCATAACGACGGGTTATTGAGATGGAGAATGACATTCTCGTCTCTCTTGAAGATTTAGGGTAAGTCAACAAAAGCTTACAATACCTGCCAATGTTTGAAGATTATATTCAAAAACTGGCACACCAATGGCCAACCTTGCCATTCTGCTTATTTTAGCCAGCGCATAAAGCAAAATGGCTAACTTGCTTCTGTTGCTGTCGTTAGTCTGTTGGTAATGTCCTTTTAATAAGCTGAATGTAAGTCCTACTTATAGACTAACAACGACATCAGAAAACTGCTTTTGTCTTGATTCAAATCAAGAAAGCTCCAGCACCTTTTTTCTCCCCCTACTAGCTATTTTAATATTGAGCTCTGCTTTCAGAAGCTGCAATATCGACTCGTTTTATGTTTTTTCATTCATTTTATGTAGACATATCTAGTTGCCTTTCACACTAAACATGTGCAGAGACCGTTTCTTTTTTGACGTGTCTTTCGTCATAAGCTGAACTCTTTAAATGGTCAGATTTTAAAATGTGGTTTGTCTCAGTTTGGGAACACAGCTGATATGACAAGTAGTCTTATCTTTTGAACCTGTTGCTCTCACCAAAACCAAAACCTCAATATTTTTTTAATCATCATTACCCAGCTTTTCTGATAAGGAAGGAAAAAAAACCGCTGTGTGCTCAGTAGCATTATTGTTTCATGTATTTAATATTATATTGATATACATTAATGTGTGTCACTGTAGGTACCAAGGCCCTCTTTTGGAGGAAGGAGCGCTGGATTCTGCTGTGATCAATGGAGCAGCTTCACCTGAGTATACTAAGCTCTGTGCCTGGGTTGTATCTGAGCTTAGACTTTACTGTAAGCTGGAGGAAAATGTCCACGCCACCAACTGTAAGACACATTGTTAACTTTAAAGTAAAGTTGTACGTGATGCAAAATTAAGAGTTCTAATGTTATCCTACCAGAAGAGTTGCACGTTAAACTTTTTTTTTTATTGGCTTCTTAACTCAAGGCGGATGGCAACTGTTGATAATGTTATTGTTATGAAGCTCGTGATTGCTTATGTTGTTTGGTTAGATGACTAAACTTCATTTTTTACAAACGGGGCAATGAGGGTTTCTGTGTGACGTTGTACTAGTTACTACTAGCACACCTTATTTTACAGACTGTATCGCTTTAACTGGCTATTTTTTTCCTATACTGTGGCATCTTGTTTACAATGTTTGTCTCCCTTCCTCTCCAAGGTCCGAGTGAGGCAGAAAGCTTCCAACTGGAGATGAGTGGTCTACTGTCAGAGCTTGCCTGTCCTTACGCTGTCCTCACTAGCGGAGACATCTCCCAGAGGCTCCTCAGCAGGACCGACTGCCTGCTCCTCCTCAGTATGAACACATCACCAATTTAACCCTAAGTGTTGTCCAAATGGTAGAAAAGCATTGCTGTATTGACCTTTGTGTCGGTGGAATGAAGTCTGTAGCACTGTATGTGGACTTTTGTAACCCCACCCACCTGTGCTTAACTGTTGCCAAGTCATATTGTGAAGTGTGTTGTTGCAGATGGTGCTGATACTGAATGGAGCCACCACTAGATGGCAGCATTAGCCTTGTGGGTGCAGTAACTTTTTCAAGGCTGTGCAACAAACAGGTGTTTTTGGTTATTCTAAAAAATATTATTTATATATATATATATATATATATATATATATATAATATTCTTTAAAAAATACGTGATTTTGGTTATTCTGAATGATCAGAAATTTTCTCAGGTGGATATTGAAGATAGCTCTAAAAAACATGTGATTTTTTTTTTTACATTCTATATAAATAAGAGATTGTTTTCAAATATAAATACACATTACAAATAAGTAAAGTGAGGCATGAGAATAAAAGGGGGAATAACTCAAAGTGAACCGTATTTAACTAAAACAAACTAATAGTCAAACCTGTCACTACTTAGGTGGCACTTAAATGGAAAATACTTTTTCCCTGTATGGCTGGTTGCCTCTGAGATACTCACAATAAGCAGTGTTTGGGGTGTAGAGAGTTGTTCATGGTCTAGGGCTTAATATTTTACTGAACAGAGGGCTTTTCTTGAGACAGATATTCACTTCTCAATACAGGTGTGACTAATGACATTATCATGCAAGTTATTGAGGTGTGCTAATTCATTACACCTTGTATTTTGAATGCTAGCTTACTGGCACTCCCGCAGCTTGAACAGAACTTGACTTTTGCATCTTTGGAGTATTGACATGATTTAATTTGGCTTTTCTGCAAACCCAGAAACAGCTTCAACCTTTTACAGTTAAAGACTAATCAGGCATTGTAATATCAAACTACAAGTCAAATGACAACGTGTCAGAATTTTACTTTTGACTTAAGAGTTTGAATGTTATCCTAACAGAAGAGTTGCATGTTCATGTGGGGACAAAGGGAGCCATCATCAGTTTTATTAGGTACACTCGTGCAGTTTCCTCCATTACAGGTCAGGTTGGTTTTATACCTGGATTACTTTTACTACACAGGGAAACTGTTTCAGCCGAAGTCAATAGTCTTTGAATCTTATTTGATTTCAGATGGCAGTAAAACCCTGTAACAACAGTTAAGTTTAAACCAGATTCTGTTTTCATTTCAGCCTTTCTGGTGTCGGAGTTGGAGTCGTCAAGAATGATCCTGGTTAATAAGCCTGAGAAGAAAGCCCAGGACTCAGGTAGCCCTGCGTTCATGGAACTGAAGGGCATCTGCATGTCACTGGGCATGTCTAAGCCTCCAGCCAACATCACCATGTTCCAGTTCTTCAGTGGAATTGAAAAGAAGGTATGTTGATCTGGTGACACAGAAAAACGGACAGGGTCATATTTGTGTTTCAATGTGGGTTGTTTTCTCTCAAAATCTGACATTAGTTACCAATAGCCAACACATTTAATATGCTTCAGGAAACCACGGGAGGGAATATCTCTAAATTTCACACTTAATTAAATTATATACAAGGATGAACTGAATAGATCTGAAAAATAAAAAAGTAAATTCAAAAGTCACGTCATGTTATCCTGGGTACAAAATTATTGGCAATAATTTTTGTGAAACACCTGGAGAGAAAGTCTTTAAATATGTTACAAATGACCACTTACAATGAAGGATGATCTCATTTGAGACTTGATTATTTAAGGTCAATTTCACTCTGACCTCAAGGTTGTCAAGAACCTTTATTACAATACCCATTTCTACTTGAGAAATGAATACAGTGACTAACAATGACCAAGAGAGTGTACATGAAGGAAAACATTTTAGTGTTAGGCAGAAAATAGCACATTAACAGGGTCTCTGTGATATTAGATTTTGCTTGAAACTCTTCAAAAACAGTTTCAGTGGTTAAGCATTCAATGTTCGGACATCTATACATAACAGTGGGGAGCGGCTGTGGAGCAGTGGTAGAGTTGGTCGTCTCTCAACCAAAAGTTCTGGGGTTTGATCCCCAGCTCCTGCAGCCACATGTCTGATGTTACCTTAAGAAAGAAACTTAACCCCAAATTGACCTTAACCACTCTGATGAAGTAATCAGAGTGGTCCGTAGAGCTTCCTAACAGTGCTGTCTCCACTGGTCTGTATGTGTAGATGTAATAAATGCTTTGAGTGGTCATTAGACTAGAAAGTGCTCCACAAGCGCAAGTCCCTTTCCCATCAACCAGTACACTGTCATTGTCTTGCATAGGTATTTGTTACTAGAAGTGTAAAACAACCTCTAGAGTATGCCTAGTGTTGAAGTCACGACCATTATCTCTATTATGGTGCCCACATTTCCGCTTTTATCAGTTTGGTGTAATGTTTTGCATCTAGCTAAACTCTTTCTTCACACATCAGCATGTTGTCCATTTTTTGTTTGTAGCTGAAAGAAGCCATAAGTAAAGTCCCTCCAAATCACGTCGGAGAGCCTTTGATGAAGAAAGCCCTTGGACCTGTGCACATGGTAAATACTAAACAATGGCACAATCCAGTGTAATTTGACACAGCATAAATGATTGAATTAACTCTAGTTCCCATTTGTCAGGAAAAAATTGAAGCCATAAACCAAGCTCTTGTAAATGAGTATGAAGTGAGGAGAAAAATGTTGTTGAAACGTCTGGACGTGACAGTGCAGTCTTTCGGATGGTCAGACAGAGCGAAGGTACGTTGAAAAACTCAGAATCTTCCTAAATCTGAAAGACACAATGTTCAGATGAGGCACACAACATATTAACGCATTTAAGACACAGGTGCACTTTTGGTGCTTTAGCAAAGGTTTGGACAATTTCTGCAAATGCTCCTGCTGCTCTTTCTTCTGTGGAGAAGATGAAAGACAGTTGATCAAGTGGAGTTGACATTGTCCCAACTTTGTTCCTTTTTTTGTCATTTCAGTATGTTTATTTGAATCCCATTTATTTTTAACACAGTTTAACTTTCTGCTTATATGTTGTTGCACAGTTATTTGCATCCCCTGAAATGTTGTGATGACCTAAACACAATGGGGTTTGGTCCCTGCAATCAACATCTTATTGGCACTACCTACTTTGTTAACATTTTTCTTTAAAGACCTGATAATCTGCAAATAATGATTATTGTAATCGTGAATTAAATCCAACAATGGTTCTCTCATTTGAAGTGTTTGGTGTAAAACAAGTAAAATAAAAGTGTGTGTAATAAAAGAAAGGAAGAGCCCATGGTTTCATCAAGTGGCTCATTTTCTTCATCTGAAGCTGTAGAACTTAAAGAATCTCAGTTAATTATATTTTAAGTAAAGTTAAAATGGCAAATTAATTCAGTTAAGTAGCTGAAGCTGTCCCATATTTGGTATTCATAGACAATCTAATATCTACTGATAATCATGTGACTTGAGTGCAGCCACATCAACACTTCTGGCTCCTACCCAGACACCAACACTGCAAGATCATTCTTTCAGTATCTGATCACTTTTTTTCTCTCACAGTTTTTCTTTAGGATTTGACTGAAAAATCTAGTAGTGGTGGTTCTAATATTATAACACATTAATGGCTGTGGCTCAGTTGGTAGAATCGGTATATGTCGGTGTATGAATGGGATTAGTTAATACTGATGGAGACATAAAAACCTCTGCCGTCAGTGTGTGAATGTGTAGGTGTGACAGGTGATGTAAAAGTTCTTTGAGTAGTCAGAAGACTAAAAAATAACTATATAAGCTCAAGACTATTTACCATTTATAACAGCTTACATTACTACAAACTAAATACATTCTGTAATAAAGACTTCCTTTTGCTTGTCTTATTTCAGACGCATGCTGAAAAGTTGTCCAAAGTGTACCAGCCACTACGCTCTGCCCTCTTAACAAAAAGTATAGTATCTGTTGCACACCTTCTTGCTGCTCGACAAGACTTCTCCAAGATTCTACGCACAAGCAGCGGAAAGATAAGAGAGAAGTCTGCTTGTGCCATTAACAAGGTGGGTTAAACATGATAGTTGTAACTATTTTTTTAATTGTTGACAAATATTTGGCTCTTTGTTTTGTGTAGAAAAGCTGCTTTTTCTTTTTCAAATACCCATTTCCATCTCTGATGACTGGTTTGTAATAGTATTAGCAACTGAGGCAGAAAATAAGCTGAATCATTCAATGTTTCTCAGAACCTGTAGCCCTAAAGCTCATTGGTTCCTGGTGAAATTGGTGGCAGCTGTGGCTCAGTGGTAGAGTCATCGTCCCTCAACCAGAAGGCCGGGGATTCGACCCCAAGCTCCTGCAGCCACATGTCTGATGTTACCTTAAGAAAGAAACTTAACCCCAAATTGCAGCTGCTACTTTGGCGACAGCGTATGAATGGGATTAGTTGATAATGATGACACTTTACAAAGCAGCCTCTGTGCTATGTAATGTGCTATCTGTAACAGCACCCAGTGTGTGAATGTGTAGGTGTGACCTTGTAGGAAAAGCGCTTTTGAGTAGTCGGAAATCCATTTACCAAATCCATAGACCAGTGATATATTAAGTGTTTTTTAGAATCAGTGATTAACTGATTCTACTGAAACAGCTGATAACTTACACATTTAGCCTACTTTGTTTTTCAACATCAGCTCCCCGTGTTTAAACATTCGGTGTTCTGAAACATTTTAGTGGGTTTTATGGATAAGAATATAACAAGTTGTTCATTTAAAAGTATCTGTTTAAGATTTTTTTTAAACCAGAGGTTCAGAATATATCTTCAATTTAGTTTCATACTTCCAATGGGTCAGTTTTTATGCCTCAGATTACTTTTGCCATCTCTTGTAAATTCTGAAATTAGGTTAACAAAAAAATTCTCAACACGTTAATGTTACCGTTATTCAAACTGACAGAAATACAATCTTCTTGTTCTCAGGTCCTCATGGGCCGAGTACCTGACAGAGGAGGACGTCCCTGTGAGATTGAACCTCCACCTCCAGAGATGCCCTCGTGGCAGAAGCGCCAGGATCCTCCTCAAGGTGGAGGACACTATGGCGGCGGTGGGCATGGAGGTGGAAGAGGGGGCTATGACCACTACTCCCAAGGTGGCCGTGGAGGATATGAGAGAGGAGGACATGGAGACAGGGGTGGCAGAGGAAGAGGTGGAAAGGTGCAAGGAGGGTGGGGAGAAGGAGGTGGGGGAGGGAGAGGCAGTTACAGCCAGGGCCACTTTCAAGATGCAGGAGGTTATCAGGGGGGAGGAGGGAGAAGTGGGCATGGAGGAGGAGGGAACCACCAAGGAGGCCTCCAGGATCCTGGCTACCATGCAGGAGGGGGAGCTGGAGGCGGTTACCATGACAATTTCCATCAAGATGGTGGAAGGCATCAGGAGAGAGGCGGGAGTCGAGGAGGTCGAGGGGGCAGGGGAAGAGGAGGCCGAGGAGGAGGAGGAGGAGGAGGAGGCTGGGGAGGGAGAGGTGGCCAGAATTTTAACCAAGGTGGGCAGTTTGAACAGTTCTTCCAACATGGTGGTCAAAATTTCAACCAATCTGGTTTTAATCAAGGCAGACACTACACAAGTTGAAGACAAAGTGTGGGGCATTGCAGCAGAGTCCACCCAAATATCGACTGCTCTTAAATGCCTTATTGTTCAATCTCTAATTTTGAGCATGTTTAAAAGTTGACTAAAATGTTGAATGAGAAAATTCACACATACAGATGCTGTGGACACCCTTTGGAGTTCTTGCTTTTACTACAGAGGGCACTTCTAAAGTAGTTCTTTACGTTTGTTTCATACTGGATGTGTTACTTTTTACTTTTTCTTCACAATCCAAGTATTCAAGCCAACAGCACTGTTGCTAATGGATAGTCGATGAACTGGGCTCTGCTGTCTTGACCTCATTTTGACACAAAATTAGCCTTATATTGAACTTCATTTTTGGGGAAATACAGAAAAGTTGCTAAGATTTTGGTGTAGGTGCACTCACTATGTATTAAACCTTTAAAGTGCACATCATTATTACATGTGGGATTCTTAAAATCCTTAATAGTTCCATTGAATTTGAAGGTTACTTGAAAACATAGTTTCAGTCTTTATTTTGTTTCTGTAGATTGGACTGGAATCTCCTTTGTTATTTATTCAGAAGATATCATCCTGTTCTGCTAATGGAAGGTTGTGTGCATAGAAATATGGATGTTGGAAGGTTTGCATGGTTGTGTGAATGAGCAATAAAATCTGAGATGAGAGCAATATCACATTATTATTCCTTTGGTCTCATGGCTTTGTTATAGATGTATTGATGAGGCTGACAACCACAAGATATAAATTACGCTCATTATAAAATACTGGAAATATTATGAACAACCACGTGATGTTTTTAAAATAACTTGCCATACTTGAAATCAGAAAACATAAGCAGCAAAAAATTGTCGTACTTGTATATTCATATAACCTGTTTCTTTATTTCTTCCAGACACATTTTGTACCTTTATTTCCTATATTTGTATGACAGCATAAATTACAAGAGCAGGGGTGTCAAAGTTCTATTGGGTCGGGGGCCGGATTTGTTCAAATGAGACATCAAGTGGGCCGGACTAATTTTGCAGACAAATATAACTCAACTCATGGATATATAGGCTAATATATGATTTAAAAAAAGACAACAAAAGGTATTTGTATAGAAAACTGCATGTTAACGCATAAAATGTAAAAGTACGTCAAGCAGAGGGATTAACTCTGTCATTGCAAACTGCATGTTGGCACATGGAAATATTTAAATGTACCACATTACAGAAGACAACATCAATAATTATGTTTTGTTTGAGATTATTATATTATGTTTTAATATTGCTGTTCAAGGTTATAGAGACTTTGACACAGGTTACTCTCTACCTGCCCTGGGATCAGTGCATTACTAGAGAGAGAGAGAGAGAGAGAGAGACTTTAGATCTGTGTGTGTCAGGCCACAGCACAGTTTGCACTCGTTAAGGTTCATTACAGATAAAACCTGCTCACATGAATAAGTTGTTTCCAAACCAACAGCCATGAATTGATCCTTCAGCGTTGATCACTGCAGTCTGATCTGCTCCGTGTGGAGTGCACGTTCTTCAACTAAGTAAACTCAGTTAAACCACTTTTGATTTGACCCCTGCAGTCCGTTCTTCTCCGTGTCTGCACTATCGTAATGTAACTCTGTCACTGACTTTATGCGCCATGAATCTGTGTCATCTCCGTGCACAAATCGAAGAAGCATTTTAGCGCTGCTCCACGGTTAAACCAGCGGACCTCTGTATGATCGGACAGCCTGTGCGTGATATCGTGTTTGGATAAGAATGAAATGTTCAGTAATAGTTATATTTTTACAGTCTGATGAAAGCTGGTGATGAAGGCGCAACCGCAGTCTACTGCATTTAGAAGTGATGTCGCGCTGAAACTTTTAGGTGATCAACACAACACGTTCACCTCTGGGTGACCTAAAAATGAACCATCTGTAATTAAAATCAGTTATTATTCATTGTAATTTACTGTTTTTACAATAATCAGAGGTAAAACTAGTCGGGAGATGCATCCGGCTCAACACTGCGGTCAAGCCAGCCGCTCCTCGAGTTTACATGGTGAAGTGAGCCGCCCCTAAAGTGCTCACGTATTCTGATCTTTATGGTAACTGCTCCGGACTGCAGAGCGAGCAGGAGTAACAGACAGAGAGAGCGTAGTCATAAAACTGACTATGAGATACACGTGTATGAAACGGGAGCAAACAAAGTAATGTTCAGGGACAAGCTTCGGAGGTCGGTGAAATTAGTTTGAGAATAATACTGCTGTGAGTCTGCGGCAACTTCCGTTTTTCAAAGTAAGGTGTTTTCCTGGGAAAAAATATATAAAAAATATCTTCTTACACAAGTAGACAATGATTCTGATATGGTTGGACTTAGTACTTCTTAGACTACATGCACAGGTACTATGAAGTATAAATTATAAATCTTAAATTATTAAATTTTAAACCCTTATAAATCACTAAAAGTACTTAATAGTACCTGTGCATGTAGTCCAAGAAGTACTAAGTCCAACCATATCAGAATCATGGTGTACTTATGGAAGAAAATATATATAATTATTGTTTTCTCCAAGAAAACTGTTTTTTTTTTTTTTTTTTACACGTGTATCTTATAGTCAGTTTTATGGTAAGACTTCTGCATTTATCACTTTTGTCTGGAAAAGGAGATTAATAACGGACTCGCTCTCTCTGTCTGTTACTCCTGCTCGCTCTGCAGTCCGGAGCATTTACCATAAAGATCAGAATACGTGAGCACTTCAAATTTAGGGGCGGCTCACTTCACCATGTAAACTCGAGGAGCGGCCCTGCCTAGCAACCAAACGTTTCCATGGAAACATGTTCACTCTGCCAACGGTTTGACTAAGTGGACAGCGAACATTTACAAAGAACGGTAGATTTCACAAAATGACTTATTTCTTCAGAGGGTTGGAAAGAAACACCTGAACGTTTGTCTTCGTGGTCAGTTTCAGCTTGTGAGTACTTTAGTACACACGGCTGAAAGGTTTCCAGCAGTAGGTCGGTAACGTAGTTCGATAGTTAGCTTCAGGCTATATTTTGTAACGTTTTTAACGTTACTCATTTTAGATTCAAAAGGTAAATTCATGTAAAAAAAAAACAACGAGATGTAATCAACGACATAGTCCAAAATATTAATCTTACATTTTTTTGAATGTATGAAGTTTTAGATTTATACATGAAGTGGTGTCTCAAAACGTCAAAATGTTTTATGTGTTGAATGTTGTTGTTGTTTACAAGCTGTAACTTTCAGGTAAATACTATTGAAGTAAACCCTACGAAGAAATGGAAGACGAATACTCCAGGACCATTCGTCTGGTAAAGCAGAGTAATTCATAATGATCTGTAACTTTTACTCTTAATTTCAATTATCCCACTAAATGTAAAACAATGTCTCCTTTTACGACCTCTTCTGTCATCTCTTCATCCAACGAAAGTTGTTTATCAGATGTGTGGCTCTTCCTGGTGTAACGGAGGAGTTGTGGACAGAGGAGAATGAGAGGGCTTTGGATCAATTCATTGTTGACGACACAATCACAACCATGGTGGTGTACCTGGACACTGACTCCAAGCTGTGGGTGGAATACTCCATACCTGTACAGGTAAAGCTTGACATTCAATCCTAAATTCTAAGAAAAACTGAGCATGTCCTTGCCTGATCCCATCAGAGAAAGCTTGATACTTCTCTTAAAAGCTGGAGTGCTCTCCTTTTCATCCTTCATGTGTTGTTTTATTTTGTTAAATTCTATAGTTTTATTTCATTTGCATACCCAACAAACCGTTAAAGCCCTGTACATTAACACGTATGTAAGTGATTAGACCTTGATTAGACCACTTCTCAGTAATATGTGCATTAGGACAGGTTTGTTTGACTGACAGCTCCAATACCCTGTTCATTTCTTAGAACCTGTTCGGGCAGTTATCATACTTGTTTGTGCTTAGAATTTATTGCGTCTTACATTTTCACCATGGCTACATCTATTTACGACCCATCCTGGTCTTTTAAGACATAGTCATTTAAAACACCTGTGGTTGTACAGAGGCTTTAAAATGTATTTTAAAATGGACAGGTGGTGGAGCAGCTGTGCTATTTTATCCGCAAACCAGGAGCCATTATCACAGCAGAGACATTTGATTCAGCTGTACAGTTTGGCATGCTTCGAGAAAACCCCATCCAAAGGCTGCTCCATGAAATGATCTGTTTGCATGCACCGCCAGTCGCCCTCTCAACCTACAGCCAGAAGAGCATCAAAGACAACTATGCCAACAACATGCACTGCTTCCTGGCCTGCCTCTCGGGTGGGTACCTCAGAGAAAAGGGAGAGCTACACAGGTTTCTTTTAACCATATATAGAAGTTCTACAAACTGTACAACTTTTGTGAGGGTGTTATCTTGGAGTGGTCTCCTCTTTGATATTTTTTTAAATGTAAGAACCCTTACTTTGTCCCGAATATCACAATGCTTCATCTCATACATATGGTTCCCTCTTTATCATACAAAGAGATACGCTTGTACAGTTTTTCAAGGCAGCAGAAATAAATTAACATCCTGGTTGAATTGAACAATACATTTCCATTGACCTTATTTGAAGCAAATTGTAGTTACACTTTCTGAAAGCAGTCAGTCTGAAGGACAAATTAGGTTTCGCAAATGTCTTTGCTGCTGAAAAAATCTTAAGAAAGTGACTTCAGTTTACAAGTAGTTAAGAAAACGTTCCTGTACAGAGGACAGATTATAGAATAGAACTCCATGATGCTGATTCACTCAGGGCAGTCTACAGAGGATGGCCATTATTTCTAAATATTACAGAACTGCATATATTTTAGTATTAATATTTTATATTATTTTATTTTTGTGCAGATGATGTGTATAAGAAGATGGGCAACACAGTGCTGTATATCCCAATAGAAGCCCTACAGTGCAGCCCTGAGGAGGCAAGAAAGGACAAGAAGCTGGTACAAAGAATGGAGAGTAAGCCTGAAAATATTTCTCCTTATCTGTTTCTGTGCATTGCATGATTAATATGAAAGTACAAGATGTAATGATGGCAGAGCTTTATTACAGCGCTGTCTGTTGATGTGATCTTTTTTCTCAATCTAAAAAAAGGTCACATCAACAGACCTTTGCTTCATTTATTCTTCAGTTTTAAATGTTCTTCTTCTTTGCCTTTTCCTCTATTCTTTTGACTAAGTTGTTAACCACGTTTTGTAGGTGTTGTGATCCACTGGACAGATCAGATCAAGGAGCTACTGAATGATCAAGAAGTAATGGAGATGGGGGACACATGTGGCCCACTGCAGGAGATAGCATTCTGGAAGAACCGCTCTGCCAAGCTTTTGGACATCAGCCTGCAGCTACAAAAGCCAAAGGTCAAACACATCCAGAAGATCCTGCAACTCTCAAAGTCTATCTATGAACATCGCTTCTTCAAACTGGCCAAGGAGATCCAGGTATTTACAGTCTTCCAAGTCTACAGTCTAAAACTGATTTATAACTCCAGTATGGTATAACTGAAGTGTAATATGATTGCCATGAAATATAATACAATATAATTAGACAAGATTAAATAACTTTACAGAGCATTTTTTGCAAAACTCTGTCGCTCTGTGTGACTAAATATGCAACTACCGTGATGGAGGAAAGGAAGTGTATGTAAAATACTCAAGGACTGCAGTGTTGCCCAATGGCTCCCGATGCAGAAAGTTGGAAAACATTGATATGAAAACTTGTGTTAACATAACTAAAGCATTTAATAAGAACTGTGATAAAAGTAGGCATAATGATAGTCATTCCTTTTTTATCTATCAATTTTGTGCATGTGTTTTCTCCAGGATTGCTCTTTACAGGCTAAATCAAACCTGACCTACCTGTCCATACTGAAGGAGCCCTTTGAAGAGTTTGCCAAGCTCAAGCCTAACCAAGTTACTCCTAAGCTGTGTCACATTGTCAGTCTCATTCGCATCATTTGGGTTAACTCCGACCACTACAACACTAATGAGAGGATCACTGGCCTCTTCCGCAAGGTACCTGCATTTTTCTACATCAAAGTGTTTACAACGTTTGTTTTTAACACCCTCTTTCTATTAATGACCATCCTTTGTCCATTTTTATGTGTTTTGCATCCAACACGGGCCATTTAAACAAACTGCACATACTGTAGGGCTCAACAGGTTAAAACAAATGAACAAGGATTTGCCTTCAGTCCATAATAAAACAAGTTAAAAGTGTTAAATAATTCTTCTACCACATACTGTATTTCAGTGACGCTCTTATTTTCTCTTGTATTATTATGCCAGCATGCCCATTCCCATACAGCAATGTGCTTCTGCTGTAAGTTTTTTTGATTGGGCTTTCAACAACCCCCTTTTCATAAGCAGCATGTTTCTTTATATTTTCATTGGACAGTTATTTTGTTTATGAGTTGTTATTGTGTTTGAAGCTGCAGCCTGATTCTTCAAATAATAATGCATATATGTACAGTATACAACCAATATATACCATATACGTAATGAGTCAGAGTGTCTTGTATTTGACATATTTTTGTTTTCTACTGTGTTGCAGATGAGTAATGAGGTCATCAGCCTGTGCTTTAAAAGCATCTCTCTGGACAGGATCTTTGAAGGCTTTGTATTATCCAGCAAAGAAAACCTTAATGACTGTATCCAGTGCTGCCTGTCCTGGAAGGAAGTTTACCAGAATGCATCAAATGTTCATACCAAGTAGGAGAAATCTCACCTGCCTATGGACTTAACACACTGTCATCTATGTCTACGTTTGGTTTCAAATCTCAAATCTATTTGCTTTATTTGGGTTTGGTGTAAAATTAAATTGCACATTAGCTAAGGCAAAGTTGTTGTTCTGAGTTGTCTGCATTTAAAGATTTAATTTTAGTTCAATTAAGGAGTTACCTCCTTATAGAAATAACTGATTAACTGCTACTACGAAGTAAGTTTAACTGTGCCCACCTCTGAATATACCCTTAAAGAGCAGTGATTTAGTTTGTGTTCAAGCTCATCTTATACTGTAAAAACTTTACAGTTTGTTCACAGTCTCTCTGTCCTCCTTCTGGTTATGCTGTCTTTTGTTTTTACATCAGGTGTTCCCCTAAAGGTTGGATGCTGGACCAAACCAGCATCTTTGTGGTGGTTGATGCTTTTGTTCAGAGGTTCAAAGACCTGCTTGAGGTAACCTTCACTCAATAACACAGAGACATTAAAGGTCACATATTATGCTCCTTATCAACGAGTTTAAATAAGTCTTGGAGAGGATGGACTTTTCTAATAAGTGGGGGGTTTGAAGACAGGCTAGAGGCACATATTAGGGTTAGAAAAGCATGGTAAAGTGTATCTTGCATAATATGCAACCTTAAACATACAATCACAACTCTGCATAATAAATCTATATTCATTCTGTTGAAATAGTTAGAATTAGGGAACACTCCTGTAAACAAATGTAGGCCAATGCATATTTTCCTTTCGATGAAGTACCTCTAGATGTGGTCTTTAAATCCTCATGCAAAAAACAACACCGAAAAGATTATCTTCAGGATTATCCTGCAGAATTTTAGGAACAAAATTGAGGCCACATTGTGCTCCATTGGGCTTTCAGTGGATAAACATGGATCTCATCCTGTCAAAGCTACTTCCTTTATCTTGAGTTTTCAACCATATTAAATGTAAACATGCTTCTTAATTAGTCTGCATTTCCTTCATTGCATATGCCAGATTTAGTTTCACAGTGCAGTCCACAATGAGTGTCTCTTCATTGAACATCTTTTCTAAGTTGTTGTGTCAAATGAAATGTTTTAGTGGTATTACTATGTTTCATCCTCCTTGTGATATAAACACTGTCCCAGTGTAAGATGTAACAGAAGGTGGCTGTCTTTTCCCTTTTTGTATCAACTTTGTTTTTGTACATAGTTTGTATCTTTTTTTCCTTTAGCTCCGTTGTAATTAAGTTGCCTCTTTGTGAATATCATCCTATTTAGATCAAGGAGATAAGACCTCAAGTATTTTGAGAATTACATACAGTATCTCAACTTTTTTTTTTGTGCCATTGCATTTTTTAGGTATGTGACTGCCAGCATCAGTTTGCCCGTTGGGAGGATGGTCAGCAGAGGCCCCTGCCATGCTTTAGTGGAGGACAAGGACCAGAGTTCACCCGGTCCCTCCTGGAGCTAGAAAGTATCTTCCACCGTGGCCTGCAGAACCTGCGCTCTGTCGTTAAGAGCATCTTTGATGTCGAGAACACCATTTGGTTCAGAGAATTCAACAAGTATGTGTGGCTCTTTAACCTGCCCTATTACAAAAAATACAAATATAAATGAAAGTACAGAGAACAATTCAAAAGTGTTTCTTTGTTTTTGTGACTGTAAAACACAAATTAGGCCAAAAGGGGCAGTCCAATTCCCTAAGCACCTTTATAAGGTAAAAAGATTCCCTACTTGAGATGGAGAGCTAATAGCTTCTTTGTGCTCTGGTGCTGTTTGCACTTTGATAGCTATTATAGCTACAGCTATTTTGAATACATTATGGGTAAATTGGCCCTTTTCTATGAAAATTACTTAACTACAAAAAACACAATTTTCATAAAAACCATTACTTGGCACAACTCGAATTAAAGGGAAATTATTAGCGCCTTTAGAGAGTTGGTGGCAATAAATAATGAAAGTTGTCTATGAATACAGTCCAAATATTTTATTGACTTTATGGTTCTTATAATGACCAAATAAAGGGCCGCCCCATCAGCAATGGATAGGCGGAGAGTTCCCCTCTCTCTGCCCCTTGCCCCAAATATTTGTTCTGCTGTTGTCAGAGGAGCTTATTGACATTAACATGTCTTTGTTATTAAGGCAATATATTCCCTTGAATATTTTCCAATTTGAATTATATCCCCCACCATAGCCACAGTTACACTTTTAAACTGTATCTTGAATGGTCAGCAGAGACATACAATCACAAAGCTGTAATTCTATTTTTTTATGATAAATTACCTAATGCCATTGTGCGGCATGTTGGTGTCCTTTAACATGTTTTTTTGGTTACACTATCAAACAAAACTCTAGTAATATATTCAATCATGGGACAGGACACGTTGTGTCTGGAATTTATTTTATTTGAATTTTGTTAGTGAAATGTTTTTTGGGTGCACTGTACATATTAATCTTTGCGTCTATATTTTTCACCTGCACAAAAATAAAGCCCTTCAAGAGTGTGCATTTGATTTTGTGCTTCTGCTCCACTGCTTCAGCGCGTGAATGTATCAGTTGCTCATAATGCAAGTGTTGTTGTATTTGATGTTAAATGTGTGTTTGTGTGTAGGTGTTTTTATGTATATAAATATATATTTTTTTGTTTGGAATCACAGGTTTCGTGCAGTAGTAAAGGATCTGGAAATGATGATGCAGAACCTGATCAGTTCCATTTTTAAAACAGTAAACACAGTGGAGGAAGGAGTTCGGCTTCTGGACATTTTTAGACCTATGTCTACTCGAGAGGTGACTCACTCACACACAGACAAGTGCTTACAAAGCCAATTTCTCAATTTTAATTTCTGATCCTAGCCCAGGGTGCTTTATTGCCTCTGCTCTTAAATTGATCTAAGTCTAAGAGCTAATCTTTTAGAATGCAGAGTAGTATAAGGGAATGTTCAAACTTTATTACCCCTTTATTTATTTCCTAATGAGACAGTAAATATGCTAAAACGTGGGAAGGAATGACATGCAATAAAGTGCAAGAGTTTTGATGTAATCAGCTCCTCTGCAGCAACAAATTCATAGTTTTGGCTTTTCCAGTGCAAAAATAATTTTCTTCACCATTTTATGCTTGGCATATAGTTTATCCTTTTTCCCGTATTGAGAGGTCTTTCAGAGTCCAGAGTGCTTAGTGTTGAATTCAATTCAAAGTAAATGGCATCATATCTTTTTTATTTAAATTTATCTCTGTACTTTTAATTTTCTTTCAAATCAGGCTATAAGGCGCACCACAGAAGAGAAGGTCGAAGAAGTGTACAATGTCTTCAACAAGGAGCTTAAAATGGTCAACAAGGAGTTGAACCAGAAGACAAGAGTTTGCCCTGACCATATACCTCCAATATCAGGACAGGCCCACTGGGTGAGGGCCCTCAGACATCGCCTAGACAAACCCATGGAGGTGAGTTCATTGATCTATTTAATTAACCTCTTTGTGCACAAGCAGTGTGAAATCAAAAACCTGTAACAAACTCTTTTCATATAAAGTGTCCAACTATTTAAATGTACACAAATATTAGACCCTTTTACATTTCCTGTTCAAGATGGAACTGATATCCATTATTAATGTAAATGTCATAAAATCATAATGGTTAAGTTGTTTCATTGCTGATCAGGAATCAAAGGTTGAAATAAACAGAGGTGAAATAAATATTGCACAAAGGTAAGCAATTTTGTGTTTGGTAGATTATTTCTTTGTTGTAACAATGCTTCTTGGCAACATTGGATATACAGGTTTTGATGGGTGCAAGAGGGCTGGGTATCCTTCAAAAATGTTCCATATGATACTGATTTTGATACCTTGACTTCGATACCGATTCCTAAACGATACTTTCTTCGATACCAATTTGATAAAAATCCATTTTAACAAAAAATTCAGCTCCATGTCATTTTAAAACATTCAAAGCAGTTTCATAATATGAGAATATAAACCATTTTACCACAATGTGGTTTAACTAAAGTTGTCTGTTTCAACACTGTCTGTTTTGATCTTGTTGACATTTTTCTAAACCTCACGATGCACACTGTAATCAAGCCTCTCAAAACACAACAACACACACGTGTGCCCCGTCTGGTTAAGCAGCCAATTACCATTACCATGGTTAATGATGTGGACCACCAAACTCCGTAGGTATCGAAATTTGGTATCGAATGACAAGCCATTTTTCAATACTCTGTCATATCGAAGCAATTTGATACCCAGCCCTAGTGCGCAACCCACATACTCAGCTCTGCTGCTCATCCCACAAATGCATGTTCCTCACAAATGTGGCACCATTTAAAGCCGAATAAACATGCTTTCCAACGGTATAAGATGTATTTCCAAGAAGCATTGTTGCAACAAAGAAATAATCTACAAAACACAAATGTCCTTACTTTTTGTGTGATTTTTTAGAAATGGTGTCACTGTAAACATCTGTGGATGGAACAATGTTGTGGGAATGTGTGAGTGTTGTGCCTCTTCAGCAATACCATACTGTAAGTCTATGTCACTAAAGCCCTATTCACACGGGACTAGTATTACCTGGGGACCTCATGTGATTTAGAAATGACCCCACCACGTCTGTGTTTCGTGTGGCGCATTCGCACGGGGGTAAGCGAGGTCTGTGTTTTAACTTGAATTTACTATTATATTTATATTATATTCTATTATATTTAATATTATACACCGGATATGATGTCAAGTGTTAACCTTTCCTGCTTCGGCACTCCGACCACAGCGGAGACTGATTGGTCTGCTTCAGTGCCGAAGTTGTAGCCGTCACTTTAAGTGGGGTGCATCAAGATGTAAACAGACGTGGAGAGTCCGGCTTGTTACTTGAGGTGTAGGGCCGTTTATTATGCACACAGAGCTCAAACGGTATACACTTCAGATGCTGACTAGTTTCTCTGCTCTGATTCTACTCCGGTCCCCGACATCAGTAACATGCCTCTCACACACACCTGCCTCTCACACACACTCCCCTCGTTCTCTCTCTCTCCTCACTCGCACTGAGCCATTCACAGACATACACTACTAGTATAACACCAGGCTCTGTGTAATCTATGCGTAAAAGATAGAAAAATGTTCCATGCATGTAATCCATCTAATCATCTTTGGAGATTTCTCTCTTCTGATGGATTTGAGTTTGCTCTTTCTGTGAATGAGTCTCCATGCTGTGTAGCTAGATGAGCCTCCTGAATGTGCACTCAAAATGCTGTCAAAACTTTCATTTATAATTGCCAATGCAGCCTCCATAATTCTGGACCGGGAAAAGGCAGAAAAAAGGTGCGGAGAACACAAAAAACCTTAAAAAACCCCAAAACTACCCCAAATCACAGAGATGCCGATTCGCACGGGACTAATATTATCACATAACCTCTGTGTTTAGTGAAATATGTTAGGTAATTTGCAGTGGAATTCTTACTTTACAAATTACAGACATGGCAGATTCGCACGGGATGAAGATCACAGACGACCTCCGCATTAATTACAAATTACTAGAGGTCCCCAGGTAATACTAGTCCCGTGCGAATAGGACTTATGACACTAATATTACAATTCACTGTAAAAGTAAAAAGGCACAGTGTAAATTGGGCTGTTATGCATTATCTTCAATGAACCCCTGCTCTGAAGCTCTTCCTTGACTCATTTCATTTTGTCCCCTGTCTTTCCCCTTCAGTTGCTCCAAACGGCCCATTTTATGCATGAATCATATAGCTGCAAGCAGGTCATTTTCTCCAATGGCCAAATGGTGCAGGTTTTGGATGAGTTGGTGAGGAAGAATTTCAGTATGTGGAGCCAGAAGCTGGACGGTCAGTACATCAAGAGGCTTGAGCAGCCACTCATGGTGCGCTGCAAGGACAACACCGCCAAGTTGGACATCAATTTTGACAAGTGGGTTACACAAACAACACTTTCTCACATTCTCACAAGAGACACTGAGCATTTGCATCACAATAAACATTTCACTAATGTCTTCAATGGTTAACTGTCATTTGTTTATGATACCCAGACTTTGTGTAGCTCTCTGAATCTATGCTGACACAGTATGTATAGATACAAAAATATAAGACATTTTCAATACAACATACAATCATGTACAACCTAAGCAATTCAACACAAAGTATAAATATAATATACACAGTAGCATGAAAATTACATGTGCTCATTACTTATTACTTATTTCTCTTTTCTTTTGCAGTAATCTATTGAACATGTTTTCTGAGATCCAGTACTGGGATCGACTTAAGTTTGAAATCCCACAGAGTGTATCTGACATTTGTCAGGACAGGGAGGACTTCAGAGGCCTGAGAGAGGGAACACTGCTGTTGATCAGGGACTACAACAGGTTAAACACACACTCACAAACACTGACATTCAATTAACCTTGTGCGCACACATTTAGGCGTTTGCAATGGGGACATACGGTATGTTTACTATTGAAGAGTATTAATGATCATTTTTGTCACGCAATTGTTAGGGCAATTTTAACTGACAGAGGAAGAGAGAGAGGATGCCAATTATTTGCTTTTTCCAAAACATAAAAGACAAGACAACTTGATCTTTATAAGCTGTTTTCTTATACCAAGTAGTGTAAGAGCATCAGCATTGCGGTTCACAATCTATTTACCTGTGACACCTCAAAGCTTCATTCTGTGTCAGCCTCCTCACCAAAAGAGCAGTTTAAAGTATGAAACGGATTTGGATGAGAAGTAAGGCTTGTAATAAGCAGAATTAAATGTTTTGATTGTTTTAAGATGTATTGATGTATTGGAGGTGTTCAGACCAGAAGTTATACTGGGAAAATGCATTTTACTCTATACATTTTTATTATTTTTGTGGGAACCAGGACCTTTCTTAGAGATATTGAGTCTCTACAAAAAATATTGATTGTTATTAGGCCTATACTGTCAAAAATGTTAATAAAGCACTATAATTAAAGCTTCTCTTTAAATGTAAGAAACTGAATTCCATATTAAAACACACAAAAACACTCTTTTTGACTAAGTCAGAAGTCTAGAAGCTGAACATTTTGGTTGCTCCAGTTTTACTTATACAGTAATCTAAACACACTCATATTTACTATTTTGACCTGTCCTCATGTACCTATGTTTCCTATGTGTGTGTATCAGGATCATTGGAATGCTGTCTCCTGACGAGCATGGTCTGTTTCGGGAGAGGATTCGCTTCTTAGATAAGAAGATTCAGCCGGGGTTGTCAAGGCTCCTGTGGTTGTCAAAGGGAGCTTCAAACATCTTCATCCGAGAGTGTCTTGTACACATTGAAAAGGTTTTTACAGTTCACCACATACTGGTGAAGGCATGTGTACAGCTGTGTGTGTACTGAATTGACTTTTTCTGTGAAGGCAGTGGAGAAACCAAAAGTAAAGGGAGAGTATGTGGGGTTTATAGCCTCTATCTGGATGAAAATATGTGATTGTTAAAAGAACTTTAGTTTAGAACATTGCATGCATTTATATTAGTGTTTATTTATCAGAGAACTGGTCCAAGGTTACTGAAGGGCCTTCAACCGATCTTGAATCTATTCCTGGTCCAGTAAGAAACCTTCATCTCATTTCTCCTCAGGTCCGGGTCATAGTTAATGAATACAAAGTATCCAATCTATCAATTTCCAACCTCTGTCGCCAGATGAGTGAAGCACTACTGATTAAAGTCAATGGAAAGACTGTGTACAGGTAAGAACAGATATCTCTTAAGGACTATAAAACAGTAAATACACAAATTAAATAAACAACACTGTTTCCCACAGAATGAGAACTGTACATGCGCAGTGGAGTTAGTGTGTGTGTGTGTGTGTGTGTGTGTGTGTGTGTGTGTGGGGGGGGGGGGGGTAGGTTACATTTCAAGAAAAATATTAAAACAACAACATAAGAAGCTAAACTTTTTGAATGAGAGCTCACAACGCAATGTGTGTTAACAGGAGGGACATATCTGGGGATTTCTCTCTCTCTCTCTTTCTCTCGCACTTAAGTTTAAGATAGTGATTAAAGGAAGAATATACGATTTTTTTTCACAATTTCTACAATGGGTGTAACACCCGAGTCCCACTGTCTGTGATGCTTTCAGAGTATCTTCAGTTTGTTTACATCGCCTGGACGTTGGCTGACTCCTCCCCTCACGTATAAAAGTTGTTTAATTGAGGGACTAGAGAAAAGAAGAATAACATACTGTACTCACTGCTTAACTGTGTTTCTAGATCACGCTCATTTCAGGTAAATTTACATGCAGTGTGAAGATACCAGCATAATAAAGATCGCTAGCATTAGCATGCTAACACAACAATGCAGCGCGAGTTGTTTTGGTTTCATGCTGGTGCTCAAGGGCGACATCTGCTAGATCAAAAAGTTGCATATTCTTCCTTTAAATAGGCTATGGATAATGGAAATATACTTGCCTGGCTGTAATTATACATTATACATCTTCATATAGGAAACACTGCAACATAAAGCACTCTTTTATTACTACATACATTTTAAGCTGATTGTTAATGGCATCATGTTAAGTAATTCATTTTAATAGAGTGCAACATACAGTATACATTTTACCAGACAAGTGTTCCCGTAGTGCTAATAGCTAACAGAGGATCAGTAATCTTTTCCACTGTATGACATGTTCTTGAGCAATGGCCATTGTAAGCGTCCATACTGTATCTACTAGTTAACAAGTGAACAGCTCTGATTTTGTTTGTTGTTTGTATCCTGGGTGTTTTTTGTTGTTGCAATTTTCAGGAACCAGGAGTTTGAAGATGACCAGAAAGCTCACCAGAAAAGCCAACTCCAAATACTACGCTCAGCACACCAGGATATTGTTGATACCATGAACCGTATTCACAGCACCTTCTCTAATGATGGACCTGAGGTCTGTACTGTGTCTACCTGGCATACATTCAGTATTGGAAGCATTCCATCAGAAGTCTTTTTAAATGTAATATAAACTGACATAGTGATAAAGCTGTTATTTTAGAAGCACTTTGTGTGATAAACTGTAAGTGTGCAAGGTTGTGGCATAAACTTAAAGTTTGGCATGTTGTTTTTTTCAGGGTAAGGGAATAATTGAGTTGTAAAGCACTCCTTGAAAAATGCTTGATTTTCAACATAATCGATTTTTACCTTGATTTGAGGGCATGCATATCCAAGGTAGCTAGCTTACATTGGTCAATTCTTATCAGGCAATGAGGAACAATTTATTTTTGTTACTTATAAAGCAGCATACCAGACCGTTTACTGCTTCTAGAAAATATAAAATATGGCTGTATAAAGAAGGCCCCATGCCTCATACTGACATGAGGCCCCAAGCTGTTGCCTGCCTTGCCTGTTGACAAGCAGCCCCTCTGGATAACTGCTAATATTTCACTCTTCAAAATTAGTAACTACCTTCTCACCTGCAACTGTAAAGTGGTCAGCAATTCAGTTCTTTTCCTGAAGATAAAATAAAATCAATCAAGAAAATGTATGAATAAAAAGCAAGATGTTGACCAAAACAAGTTGTTAAACTGGTTTTTGACATAAACTGTAAAACGATAGAACATTGAATTGAAATCTTCAAAATCAAACTTCCCGATCTACTGCTTGAAATGCAACAAAATTAAAATTTGTAAACTTTGGTGCTTTTTTGTGAAAGGTCCATGAACACTGGGTTCACTACACAGAAAAGGTAGACAACATGGTTGAGGAAGCCCTAAGGAGCAACATCAAGCAGTCCATGAAGAAGCTATCCAGGGCCATCAATGGAGACAGAAAGACATCGCCCAATCCGTTGTTCAAAGTCCTAGTGGTTCTGCACCAGACAGCCTCTGAATCTCCACCAATGGTAACAGCAATTACTCTTTCACCTATTCTGTCACAGGATTTTGAGTCATTATGGGGGCAGTAGTTGATCTGTAAGGACCTGGGACAAAGTGTCCAGTATGGACAAAGTGTGGAAATTGGGACTGGTAGCTGGAAAGGTGCCAGTTCATGTCATTTAGTACTGCAGGGTTGAGCCTTTAAGCAAGGCAACAAACCCAGAACTGCACAGGGTCTACTGCTCGCCAGTCCATGTGCAGTCCTCTCACTCTGACATCACTCCATTAATGCAGGCTTTTATGTTTGTAGCACGTGTCTGAAAAACTAATTTCCCCTAGTATTAATAAAGCACATTAAAAGCAAAATATAAACGTTTTCACAAAGTCACTGTTAACAGACCTGCATATAAGGCAAATGGAAACTTTATTCATTCCCCACACGAGAAAGTAAAATTGAACCTATTACTTTTATTTCTCTTACCATAAACTAGTGTTACCTACAGTGTACACACTTTCTGTATCACCTCTCCATCCTTTTATTTTGCTGCTTGTTGAATCAAGATCAAACAGTCAACTGTGTGTGGTGTTCTTGTGTCTCTCTTAATAGATTGAGTTCTCCCCGACACTAGGAAAACTTTCTCAACTAGTGAACATTTTGCCTCAGCTCATACACACAACCTCAGGATTCAAACGTCTGCCTGAACTTCTCTCTGGCAAGAAGTCACAGGGGAATCCCATATGTATCCACTTGGGTAAGAAATTTATTATTTTTTCTCACATTTAATCTGCTTTTTGCTATCTTTTAAACGTACACTATGTACTATTTTATGACAATGTTTACATTCAAATATCTAAATTAATTAAAAATTTACTAAATTTATGTAAATAAATGTTATATATTTATTTGTTCAGTACTTACATCACCTCAAATATTTCCAACAGTTACCAAAGCTAGAGAAATCAATCATTTTTAAGTTGTAATGGGACATGTCTTGTCAAGGCGGCAGCCATGATGAGCTGCCATAATAGACAGAATGTTTATCGTTGTCATGGAAACACTGGATGTTACGTCAATGACCGCTTGTAAGGAAGCGGGAATAGCTACTGAAAGCTGCCGTACTGTTGCTGTATGTGCTGTTGTGATGAAAACGTCATTTAAAATTATACTTGGATACATCGTCTGTAAACATATTCTCTTCCTCAAGTCGGTTTCGCCCGTCTGGGGGAGTAGCAGAGAGAACTCCCATGATTCCCTGCTAGCCTAGACGTCATGTTTTGTTATTGTAGTATTGATTGAGTTTGATATTCTATCTTTAACTTTGTATCTTTTATAAGTTTGTTCTCATGGAACACTTTTCCATTTCTTGTATCAAAGGAAGTGTCCTCACGTATCACATGTACATTTGACCTGTTTTTATTGTATCTCTGATGTATGAATTAGACCCTTGTACATTACATAATAACACACTGTGGTTACTACATACAGTAGCCATATGTGACCAAGTGGTTCACTCCATGCTTCCACACTGGTCCTCTTTGTTCAGAACAAGACGAGGAGATTCAGAAGATTCAGGCAGCTGTTTCCACGGGGATGACGGCTAATGCGAGCCACCTGCAAGCCTATCTGAAGACCTGGGACAAATACAGGGACATCTGGCAAACCAACAAGGACTCTGTTATACAACGCTACCAGAGACAAAACCCTGGAGTCTCTGCTTTTGATGCAGATATACAAAGGTACTGTGCAAATAAAACTCTATTTGATAAAAATCATGTTTCGCGAAACCTGATTTAGTCTTTTTATAATTTTTATTGCCAAAGAGCAAAGAAGAATGTCTGAAGAATAGGATAGGACCAAATCAAGCTAACTTCTGCCACCGTAGCAGTGGTTCTCAACTGGTTGGTCAGGACCCAAAAGTGGTTCTTGGAGCTGTTTTCAGTTGGTCGCAAATTTGTAGCTGGAAAAAAAGTAGTCCATGAAGGGCTTTTAAAAACTGCATTTTTGTTCTGTCCAATTGTTCTTTCACATGTTTTGTTCTGTCTAATTGTTCTTTCACATGTTTTGTTCTGTCTAATTGTTCTTTCACATGTTTTGTTCTGTCTAATTGTTCTTTCACATGTTTGTTCCGTCTAAGGTCCAAACATTTTCCATTTTTTCGCATTACATTAATCTTATTTAAAAAACAACAGAATTTTGGGTTGTGTTTTATCATTAAGGAGTTGGTGGTGAGACTATACCAGTTGAGGACCACTGTGCTAGAGTCAGTTACCTTCTATTTTCATTAACCATGGCAGCTTATTTGATCGTTCCTTTATTGTAACCAGCAGCGACTTGGATTAAGACATCCATGCACCATTACCTACATTGTGATTGTATCCATTTCCCAAGTGACCTTTATTGTCAGTAGGTAGTCTTTAATACATGTTTCCGATTATTTAGCATGCTGACATCTCTTTTATGTTTCCATTCTCTTGTTCAACCTCAGATACACAGAAGAGGCCAACAGTGTTGAACAGGAAAAGACAGTATTGGCAATCCGGTTCATCACGCTGGACTGTTCACCACTCAAGTCGTCCTTGATGCAGCACTGCAGTGAGTGGCAAACCAAGTTCACTCAGCTGCTCAGCCACATGGCAAGCACTCGCCTTAAAGATCTTCATGACTCTTTGCAAGACAATGCCAACAGGTGGGGAGTTAATGAAAATATTTCATTTTGTGGGGTATTTTGTGTCTTGTTCATTTGAAGCAAACGGAGAGAAGGATAGGTCTAAAAAAAAGCTAGGGCTCAAACTCTGTATCAATATCTATCAAAAACAACATGAGTTTATTTTAGTAATAATTACAAGTAAGTAATTACTTGTTTGTTTTATACTCTGGTTTATTTTATTATTTTTATTTTATCTTCTTGTCTTTTAAGTAAATGGTAAATGGACTTGAGCTTATATAGGGCTTTTCTAGTCTTCTGACTACTCAAAGCGCTTTTACACTGCAGGTCACACCTACCCAGTCACACACTACTACTAACATAGTGATCACTACCACTGATGGTAGTACGAACGGGAAACAAAAAAAGAGAAATGTTGAATAATTGAACATTTTAGATCATGCTGTGCTTAACGTTGTGTGACTTTTTATTGTTTGTGTGTTTCTAGGCTCACACAACCACCCCAAACACTGGCTGAGCTTGGGGAGAGCCTGAAGCTCTTAGAGACTCTTAAGAGCAATTTGCCGAAAACAGAGGCTCAGATTCCTCTTATCCATGATCAGTTTGCTATTCTGGACAAATATGAGGTCCCTGTGGAACTGCTTGTAAGTACCTTGCTCATCAACAAACAAATATACAGTAGAAAGTTTTTGTCAAATAATTACAATGATCGCAATACATTCCTGACCATGAGAAAGTTTCCTTTAAGGAGATGAAACCTATCACCATTGGCATGATTTCTACCCTTAGTTAAAATAAATGATCGAAGTGAACTTGAATTTAAATCATTGAAATCTAAACAGGATTTGCAATTCTCTTTTTCTTTCCACCCTGTAAAATGTGCACAAGTCTGAAGAAAGGAAAAAGCACTTAAATAATAACCTTAAGGGTACTCTGAATAAATGACCTAATGATGGTCCTATGAAACCAAATCATATTGGCTTATTCAATTTGACTTTATGGAAAAAACATTTTAAAATAAAAATTCAAAATATTCAACATCCATTAGAAATAAACTGACTCAACATAAAAAAAAAAAAAAAATCAGAAAATTATCATATTCTTCATAAACACCTCTAACAGCATTTAAGGAACTGGATGAGTGTACACTTCCTAACAATCAGAGTGGTTCACTCTCTGAAATAAAGAAATAAAAAGAATGCAAATAAAGAATAGATTGTAATGAACACATTGTACACAAAGTAATGATTATTTAATTATCCAATTGCTCTCTGGTTTCCAAAGCTAAACACAGTTTTAAAGTAAAATTAAATGCATATTGAAGTAAATATTCTCAGAACACAAAGTGAAAAGACTCTCAAAATGGTTTTGAAGATTAAGGCAGTGACTAATTGCCTTCATTAACCTCATCATATATGTTGAAAGATACCCCAGAAAAGTAAGAATGCATTTTTCCATCATCATATTAATGAAATATGGAAACAAAAATCTGTCAGAAGAAGGACAAACCAGTGCCCAGAGTGATGCCCTAAAACAGCAAAATAAGAAAAATAGAAATAACTGGCAGAAGGCTGGGTGTCTTTAGATAAGTACTCCTCAACATACTCTTAGACAGTATTTCCTCTGTAAATATCCCCTGAGTAATAGGGCTGGGAATCTTTGGGTGTGTCACGATTCGATTCGATTTAGATGAAATCTCCTCCATTCATCTGAGACTGGCTGAACTTCTTGTCATTCTACTGAGTTAAAGAGCTAGCTTTAGCACTTAGCAGGGAGTGACTGATTAGCCCCAAATAATAATAATAATAATAATACAGAAAAAAATTACTGGTAAATCAAAAAAAAAGATAGATTTTTGGAAGTTATGAATTGATTTTACATTTTAGAAGAGAAGAATCTCATTTTTACATGAATTGATATTTTTGCCCACCTCTACTGATTCATGACTCCCGCTGTCTGTGATGTTGTCTGACCCGTATCTACACTGTGTTTACATGGATGGGACGGCCGGCCGGCTCATCCCCTCGTGTATTAAAGTTGTTTAATTGAGGGACTAGAGAAAAGAAGAATAACATACTGTACTCACTGCTTAACTGTGTTTCTAGCTGTGTACGTCGCTTTGGATAAAAGCGTCTGCTAAGTGAATTGTAGATCACACTCATTTCAGGTAAATTTACATGCAGTGTGCAGATATGAGCATAATAAAGATTGCTACCATTAGCATGCTACAACAACAATGCAGCTCAAGACAAGGACAATTTTGTATGCCGCTTGCGCTTTAGGCTTAGTGCTTAGTGCTAAGTGTTTTATTATGGTGCGTTCCAATTTGATCACTCCTTTGTGAAATCGCGAGGGGAGCTGGAGGTGTGTCGCTGGAGGAGAGTGGAGGATTAAGTGTGGAGGAGGTGTCGCTAAACCGCAGTTTGTTTTGGTTCCATGCTGGTGCTCAAGGGCGACATCTATGTCAAAAAGTGGCATATTCCTCCTTTAAAAGAGATCATTTCACTACAATTATTTTTTTCAAGTCAATCCTATTTATTCTGCCTCATTCAGACATAATCAGAACTCTGATTTCTCTGGGGTCCTTCATGTTCAGACAATTCCTTCTGCACATTATAACTGTCCTGTCTCTTGGATGACCCACAGGTGCAGAATATGCGAGAGGTGCTGAATGGAGAGTGGGTGTGGTTCCAGCGGGTTTTGATTGAGAGTGATATCACGCTGCAAAAGCACAAGGAGAAGTTTAAGAACGGCCTCATCCTCTCCTCTGAGGAGTTAAAGAAGAAAGTCCAGACAATGGTGCAGGAGTTCCAGAGCACAGGTCTCGCTCTCTCTGTTTAAGATACACTCCTTTAAATGATCATTAAGGGTTCAATACCCATGGTTAATCATTTTCTTCACCTCCTTTCTTGAATTTTGTAGTCCCCCTTTCATTTTCTTCACCTCCTTTTTTTGAATTTTGTAGTATCCCCTTTCAGTTACTCTCTCTGTGTTTTCTGTCCCTCCTCATCGCTCACTGATCTATTCCTCTAAAACCAATGGCTTTTATTTGATTTTTTTCCTCCCCTGAATATTTCCTATCCAGCTGCTTCCTTACACCAAATAGTTAGACATATCTTATAACTTCTGTCCTGCCGTATCAGCATCCTTCATTCCTTTTTCCTTCTCTCTGACTCACCTTTTATTCTACTTCCTATCTTCTTCCCTCTTGGTGTTTGTATCTTTCCTCCCTTCTTTTCCCTTTTTTTGTCCTCTCATTAGTTTTTAAGTGAGGTCTCTCAATATTAGAAAATATGTCTGTATTATTCCTGACCACTAAGATACAGTAGATCTTTTACAATATGTTTTTGTGCTTTTGTTTGTTGACATATGATTGTGTGTGATGTGATGTTTTTGTGATTGTATGATTGTAGTGTGTTTGTTTCTCCATCTATTTTTTGCATGAACACATCCAGGTCCGTTTGACAGCGTGCTAAGCACTAAGATGGCCTTAACTCAAATAGCTGAGCATCACAGTGAACTGGAGGCTCTGAAACAGGAAGAGACCACCATCCTTCATGGGCTGGGCGTTTTTAAGATAGACCAGTCTCCCAACAAAGGCATCCTCACACTGGAAAAGGTCTGACACAGCACTATGCCTATAAGGTTCTTTTAAACTAAATTGTTGAAAACTGACAGGATACATGAGAACGGTAAAAGGTGTAACAAGGGTTACTAGCTGCTGTGGCTTTTACATTAATCTTTATATAACTAGATGCATCTAAGTATTTGTGCACGTCTGCATATTTTGTACAGGACATAGAGCACCTGCAGCAGGTCTGGGAGATAACAAGGGAATGGAATGTCATGTGGAACAACTGGAAGGTTGGTCAGTTTGCTACGCTGCGGACAGAAAGCATGGAGAACATAGCACAGGACATGTTCAAAAAAGTCAATAAGCTGCAAAGAGAACTAAAGGTCAGTTTTACCACACACGCTGTTTAAGTTCTCATACACACAGATATTGCCTACAATAGTATATAAACAGTGCTAAATGTGTGCTCTTCTTTTGAATGCACACAATTATTGTTGTATCTTAACAGTTTGATCAATTTCAGTTTTGTATCAAAAAATGCAAGCTCTTTTAAAATTACACATACACACATTTCACATTCATTATACAAAACTGTGAGGATGTGTTTATGTCTGTTTGCAGGATAAAGAGTGGGATATAGTTAATGTCTCAAAGAGCAAGATTGAGCAGTTCAAGAGGATCATGCCTCTCATCGCCGATCTGAGGAACCCAGCCATGAGAGACAGGTACTGACTTAAACCAAAGTATTTGTATGCATTTATTAAAATAAATAATCATTTAACAATTGTAATTTCTGAATGTTTTAAATGTATAATTTATAGAATGTTATGACTATGTTTACATTCAAATATCTAAATTCATTAAAAATTGACTAAACCTATGTTTTATTTTGTTTTTTGTTGAGTACACCTCAAATATTTCCAACTTTACATCAAAGCCAGAGAAATCCGTCATTTTATAATTGTAACAGTATGTGTCTTGTCGCGGCCACCCGCCATGATGAGCCACCATGACAGACACAAAATGTTTATCGTTGCCGTGGAAACACCATATGTTACGTCAAAGACCGCTGCATAAGGAAGCGTGAGCTGCTACTGAAAGCTGCCGCACTGTTATATGTTACTGCTGTATGTGCTGCTGTGATAAAAACGTCATGTAGATTATATTTGGGATACATCGTTGGTAATCATATTCTGTTTCTCAATCGGTTTTGCCCGTTCATATTGAATACGGTCGACACTGTGTGTTTAAGACTATTGTCTTGCAATAATTAACCACCTATTAGGCAAGACAGGAACATGGAATTCTTGTTTCCTCATTTCTCATCATTTTCTTTTGTAGCCAAGCAAGACCTGTAACACAGTGTTTCAAATGTCAGGTACATTTCACATATACCTGTTAGTCACTGCTTGAGGAGGTTTAAAATGAGTCTTCCTGTAAATGAAAGGAGGAAAGTATAGAGATACAGTATACACTCATTCTACTTTGTTTCCTTCATTACACCCTTCTTTCTTTCCAAAGCACCAGACATGGTTTTTTTTTCAGTCGCCGTGCTGAAGTTGTTCAAATGTTGGTGTTACTGCTGCTGATCTATCGGCTGCTTATGTCATACAAAGTGTTTTGTATAGTGTTGTCAGCCATGTTTGTTAATTACTAACAGCCGAAAGTATCCTGGTACCTGCTAGAATTTACCCCAACTTTTTATTTGTCAGGTGACCTATCGGCTAAACCTGAGATCAAGTTGACCATAATTTCAATGTAACCTTTCAGGCACTGGAAACAGATATGCGAAGAGCTGCAGTGCACTTTTGACCAGAACAGCGCTGAATTTACCCTGGAGAAGATGATCTCTCTGGGCCTGGACAAGTATGCAGAAAAGATCTGTGAGATCTCCGGAGCTGCAAGCAAGGAACTCTCCATAGAGCAGGTCTGATCCCTTCCTGTGCTTCAGACTGATACTAAGTGGGAATATTGTATTAGCGTGAGAATGTGGTGTGAGTGTGTGAATGTCACATGTAGTGTAAAGGACTAGAAAAACATACTAATCCATGTCCACTTATTTTTAAAAAGTTCTGTCTTTGATGTATAAAAACAATATTCATGGCCCTGTGATGTCAATAAGATATTCAAATAGTGTTGTCTAATTTTCTATCTGTTTGTGTCTCATATCAGGGTCTGGATGACATTATTAAGACTTGGAAGGATACATTGCTCGACATAGCACCTTACAAACATGAAGGCCACTACCGGCTGAGGTGAGAGGCAAGCCATGAAGGCTTGGGTAGGGGTAAAGGTTATAAATATAAGCATGTTTTAATTCACTCCTAAATTTAGAGCCACTGAGGGGCTACATCGACGGGCTAATTTAGCTTGCCGGCTTCGCTCCTCAGCGTAAGATTGCGAAATAAGACAGTCCAATATCTTCTCATTTTAAGGAATATTTATTTGTCATTCCATCGTTGTCTTCATTAATGTCATATGTGCAATGTTCAAAAAAGAATCCATACATTTCCATTCAGATTCACTCTGTTAACTCATAGCGTGGCGTACAGCGACGTCTCCGTCTAGCAGCACCTGACACCCCAGTGAAAGCTTCTACCTATATAGAGTATCACCTTAACCTAAAGGCAACACCTGCTGGAACAATTTGTGTTTTGCACTTCCTAAACTTGGCTCCTACAGATGGTCATAGATGTATTTCTTAATTATGTCTTTTAGCCCATACAGTTCAAATGGCCATCTTGTAAAGTTTTTTATAAAACATATGGTCTGCCTTTCAAAAAGACTTCCTGCAGTATGTCAGATCATTTTGTAGCATGTTTTGGACATGCAAAAAGGGGTGAATAACTTTACTATAGCTAACGGAAGCTCACCACACATTAGTTAACTAGACTACTCTTTCCTAGAACTAAATGAGAGCTCACTCCCTACCAACCTGCTAGTCTACTCTTTCCTAGTGGAAGGAGCTATGTAAAATTACTCCTCTAACACCCTTTGGAGGTACAGATGAACAAGTTATAATCACAGCCCCAGGATCATCTGCCTAACATTCATTTCTAGAATAATTAGATTCAGGATAACCCCTGGTATAGGACTCTAGATTACCCCCCGGAGAGGGACTAACTGAACTCCCCTCACTAGGATGTTAGGTGTGTATGAAGTGTGTAATGTAAATCAGTAAGACAAGTGTGCCGTGGTGTGACTGCTCAAAACTTACCTTCCGAGGTACACATGGTCCTTAAGGGAGACTCCGGTCTTTTGTGGTGTAAATGATTTCAGTCAGAAAATGATTTAAAAAAGTTTCCGAAAATTTATTTAAAAAACTTCAAATGATAATACGAATGCAAATACAAAAGAGTAAAAGTAAAAATATAAAAAGAAAAGGAAAACAAAACTCAAAGACCAAAGTCTAAACCTGTGAGTATAGACACTTAAGGTTTTAAAAGATCTTGGCTCAGAGACTAAGTCCCAAAATGGGATTTCAAAAGTCAGAGTGGCGTGGATTCGTTTTGCAAAGCAAAAAGGAACCTCGATCAGATTTTCTACAGGGTTTTTATAGCCAAAAAGTCTCTCTTTTTTCAAGATCCTGTAACACCTCAACAATGCACGTTTGCAGAAACGTGATGCATACACAGGTCATGCTAAGTTCAGGACATAGGTAATACCAAGTTCATATGTGGTTTCAGCTCGCAGACCGTGAACCGAGCAGATACTCAGAAGCGCTGATCCTTTTCTGATCCTCAGAAACGCTATACGCCTACGAGCTCCTATGTGGTTTTGCTCCAATATATGGCACATGAACTCCTATGTGGTTTTGCTTCAATGTATGGCACACTCATCTTGACCTCACAGGTGCATAGACACTACGAGTATGTGTGAGTTTAACAGGAAATGTTGAAAGCAGAAAAAGGTTATGACTTTATGATCTATGTATTAAATGATGAAAGAATTAAATGATAATAAAAGGAAAAAATAAAAACAAATTCAACAATTGCATAACTCTTTCTGATCTTTCAACAATTTAGGGAAGGCTGCTGTCAACAACAGTTTGAAACGAAATAAACACAATTAAATTAAATAGAGAGGGGGAATAAGACAATTGTAAGATTGTAATTTACCAAAGATAGAAAGAAAAGATGATTGAAAATCTGTCAGACGTGTACCAACACTTTCAAACGTTTAATGCTGCTGCTCAAGGGCGACATCTACTGGATCAAAAAGTTGCACATTCTTCCTTTAACAGTGAGCTTTACCTTTTTAAAGTTTAACCTTTGAAATGCATTTTTAGAAATCAACAGCAGGCATGTTCAATTCTCTGCTCTGTCTCCTCTAGAGGAACTGAAGAGGTTTTCCAGGCCCTGGAGGACAATCAGGTTATTCTGTCAACAATGAAGGCTTCTCGCTTTGTCAAGGCCTTTGAGCGGGAGGTGGACTGCTGGGAACGGCAACTATCACAGATACTGGAAGTCATAGAGATGATCCTCGTTGTACAACGTCAATGGATTTATCTGGAGGTTCAGGAAAATGATTGTAGTAAAAGATTTGTATTTATACACAGTCATCTTTATTTCACCATCAATAGGAAATACAAAATTGTTAAAATGAAAACAAACAAGAACGAAAAAGAATATTAAAGTCTGCCAGAGACAACAAAAGTATTACAAAATAAAAGAAAGAAACATACAGTATGGGTTAGAAATTCTCCTTTATTTCTCATATTAACATAGTTACACCAAAATGGTAAATGCTACAACAGGACCACAGATACATATTTTATATTTGTGTTAAATAACTCAATAATATGTCGAGAAACAAATATATGGTCAGAAGTTGGCAATTGTTTGGGGTTTTGAAGAGAGGGGGGAAAGATGTGCAGCTGTGACTGCAACTGAAAAACATTTTTTAAATGAACTTTTTTAGAACCAGATATTTTTAGTAGATTTTCTATTGAGGAGAATTAAGAAAGACTGTTAAGGGCATTATTAAGTCTTGAGAAAATAGTGAATTTTAATGACATGCATTCTACTGTAGAAAGTTGTTATTCACAATCAAATCTCAATTTCCATTTTCCACTTTTCATGTATTTTTTTCTACCTCCTAGAATATTTTCCAAGGAAAAGACATCCGAGAGCAACTGCCTAATGAGTGTAAAGAGTTTCAAGACGTTAGCTCTAATTGGAAGATCATCATGGGACGACTCTATGCGAATAACAACGCTTTGCAAGGAACTAAACACCCGGGTATGACAAACATTTCATTTTTTATTAAAGTTCTTATTCAACAAAAATAAATGTTTTCACTTCAATCTTGTGCTGATTAAAAAAGCACAACTATCTTGAAAACATTTTCCAATATATATATATTTGTTTGTTTAAAGAGAAACGTATCATACAATTCATGTTTTTATTATATTAAAAATAATTCATGTTTTAAGTACACAGTCACAACTCTATCATTTTCCTTTGTCCTAATGAAAAAAATCTATAAATACCTCCCTTGTTAAAATTTGTGAATTTAAAGGGATACTTCATCCATTTGCATTAATCTTTGGATCATTAGAAAACTGGTAGTATTTTTGAATGGTCATGCATCCCTCCCTCATTTTCCCCTGAGATGAGAAATCTTTGTATTTCTGAGTCTGTAAAGGAGCTTCAGTGGCGGAGTGGCGCAAATATCGTCATACTGCGTCACTGGAAGCTGTTGCGGTTAGAAGGGTGAAACTACAACGCTAGTTCCTCATATTTTTGACCACTGAAGCTACAGACCAATCACAGATCAGTGGGTGAGAACTTGCTTGGAAGATATGCTAACAGGCTCTATGAAGAAAGCTGATAATGGCAAAAAAATATAAATATAGTGGAGAGAAATGGCTGCTGCCGACAGGCCGGTCTTTTGTCCTGGCTGCTGCGGCCGCTGGCCGGCGGGGCCACCACTGACCTCTGGCCGCCGGTGGCATGACACAAAACCAGCCTGGCAGCAAGCGTCTCGCGGGTGTATTGCTATATTGCTGGTCGCTACCAGCTCAGCAGCCGAGACGCAATGCCTGCCGGCTCGAGCTGGGGCGGACTGGTAGTGTCGGTGCTCTCACTGTTTGCCAATTGACACAGACATAGAGTCTGTTTTCTGCCAGGAATTTCCAAGATCAATTCTGGAAGAAATCTCTGAATCAGTTGAGGAAACGGCCTCATGTGTTGAAGTAAATATGTCTGTAAACCTGACCTTAGTGGGAGTGGCCTGCAGTGCTGTGCATTCTGGGATTTGGTGTCTTTCATCAACATGAGCCAAAAAGACACTTTCTGCCTTTTCACGGCCAAGAAGGCACCAACTTCAAAATTGATTTCACATTTCTACATATATGACCCAATGTCAATACAGATTCATGTTTCAACAGGTGAAGTATCCCTTTAAGTCTCAACTTTGTGCTGCATTACATAATTTAGAAAGGTATTTATTTTATTCATGGTATTGGTCTACAGCAGCTTAAAAAAAGTAAAATGGAATTTTTACTTTGAATATAGGATGAAGAAAATGCCAAAAAACTATTATTTCAGAACAGTTTAAAGGATTTTTGTGTATTGTTAAATAGTTGAAGGGTGTTGTTCAGTGTTTTAAAGGGAGTGTAACATTGAAGGACCAACTACTTCATCAACGAACATCAAGCATTGTAGTGGACCTTGAAGGCCAAACCTTTACTTGTCAATCTATGTTCCAACCCTCACCAATGGTCATAAGCTTTTGGTAATGACCAAGGTAATGAGGTAGGGGATAAAAGCCACATAATGTGCCCTGTACAGGGGGGGCTTGGCTCAGGCTCAGACATTTGGTAAAAGAAGTTGGAAGTGTACTTGTATAAAGCTAATATTCAGAATTTGGCCTCTCTTCTTTGCCTTCCTTTCAGGCTTGCTGGAGAGCTTAACAGAGATGAGTGCCAAGCTGGAGGAGATCCAGAAGGCCCTCGACATGTATCTGGAGACCAAGAGGCAGATCTTCCCAAGATTCTACTTCCTGTCTAATGATGATGTGCTGGAGATCCTAGGCCAGTCACAGAATCCACAAGCCATGCAACCCCACTTGAAGAAGTGCTTTGACAACATCAAGAGCTTGCGCATCAAAAAGGTAGGAAACTATTAAAAGTCATTTACAGGCATAGATTTACCCCTGTCTGTCAGGACCACTACTGCTACTACACTACTGCAGAGAGAGATCCATTTAAGGACATTTAGTCAATTTAGGTAACTTAAAATTATACATTGATTTCATGTCATGTTGTGATACTGAAAGCTCATACGGTACATCGTTTACTTTAAAGCTTCTCGGTATGCTCAAACCAGCCATAATAAGATGTGCCACTACTGTAGCTGCATGAGCTCCAGAAATATCTTTCAAACTGAACTTTGTACAACATCTGGAAGCTGTCACTGAATTTGCTTACACATTTTTTTATACAAATCAGTACAGAATGTAAAAGTACATACAAAGAGGTGTCATTATGTTTGTTTGTTTCTTTAGAGCAGCATGATGTCAAATGCGCAGGGGATGTTCTCTGCTGATGGGGAGTATATCAGGTTCCTGGATGAAGTTAATCTGGACAGACCTGTGGAGGTACAGCAGTGATGGTTATGATCATAAAGCTGTTCTGTTACAACCATCTGAGCATGGTGTTGGTTCTGAGAGTACAATGTATACAGAGTTATTGTGGAGATTGCTAGAGCTTTGTTTTGTTTTGTTACGAAGTTGTGGCTGTGTGACGTCGAGGCGACCATGCGTATTACACTCAAAGACTTGTTATGGAAATGCCTTGAAACTCTAAAGAGGATGACAGGACAGAGAGACAAATGGGTCAAGGAATGGCCAGGACAGGTACGTTTGTCTTTAGTTTTTTATTTTCATTTGCATCTAATAGCATGCTAACATAGTAAATTTAAAAAAAAATATTTGCTCTTCTGCAGATTTTAATCTCAGTACCCTAATTGACCTCTCTTTTTCATCGGGTTTTTAACTTTCAATGTTTAGTTACAGACTCTTCTCTTGCACTTGGAACATGAAAATGCATTGGAACAAAGAAACAAAGGTTTTTTTGTTTAAATTGAAATATTCCAATTTACTCCAATATGTTTTCTGCTCTTTTAGATGCTCATCACAGCAAGTCAGATCCAGTGGACCACTGATGTTACAAAAGCTCTTCTTAACAGCAAGGATAGATCTGAGAAGTCCTCTCTTAAGTCCATGAAGAAGAAACAGGTTTGTTACCTACAGGACATTAAATAGTTTCAAATATTTTTGCAAAGTTCAAAGGGGAAATAAAAGGGTATATGAAATAAAGAACTAGTCACTATATCAGCTAACTGCACAAGTCTCTCAATTGTAAGGAATTTTGCAAAATAGCCAGCTATAATAATGACATGGTAGGGCACAATAAATATTCTCAATTCTCTCTGTAGATATTTTTTAAACACATCATATAGTAACATTTTTTACATTTCTTTAAAGGGGCCATATTATGCTTTTTCTGGTTTTATATGCTCTTTAGTGTGTTTTCCATGTGTCCTGTGCATGTTTAGGCACATCTATGTGCAAAAATTCAAAGTCCGCGGAAACGCGGCTTCTCCTACGTCCTCCTGCTAGCTGCAGCATTAGCTGCATGTAACGCTCGGTTGTAGCCCCCCTCAAAAAAAAATTGACAGTGTGACGTCTTGTCAGTATGATATCACTGATCTAAGCCCATTGGCTCGTTGTGGCAAGCCCAGCAGCTCATGTTGCACGCCCGTCAACTTCTGTAGCACGCCCACGATATGCCGTAGCCTGCGGTAGCACAGTAGTGCTAATGTGCTAATAATTTTGCTCGGCCCTCGGAGCCAAAGTGGCTGCATTCCCATTATGGTAAAAGGGGCGTGACATTTCCGAGAACAGTGCTGAGCGACTGACCAATTACGGCAGAGCCAACAGGCCCACCAATCAGATCAGACTTGACACACGTGGGGACTCTGAATGTGGGCACTTCAGAGCCTTAGAGAGAGTCAGAAGCGAGCCGGTGCATGGAGCGGCAGTACATGAAAACAGACACTTTTTTAGAACTTTAGCTATTGTGAACATACTTTAGTAGGTACATAGATTAAATATATGAACCCCAAAAAGGGCATAATATGACCTCTTTAAAGTCTATAGCAGCAGATAAAGGATATTGTCCCATTGGTCTAGTCCCTTTTCATAAATTTTTTAACACTTTGTTTAAACTTGACAGTACAGCAGTATAGACAGCTGATGACTATAAACAAGTGGTCACAGAATTAAACAAAAAACATCCAGTTTTCTCAGATCAGCTGATGGCCGCTTGCAGGCAGGATTACTTTATTCTTCCTGAACTAACACAGGGCTCCATAGTTGAACATAACTTGTTAGAGCAACTTTTTTCCCATTGAATTTAGCTGATTAGAGTTTTTTGTAGTCCTTGCAGAGGATGTAGTGGTGGATATGTCCAATATTTCTATATCTTGCACTTATCAGAATGCCTTCACTTACATGATATGATCAGACTTAACTTCTGTCTTTATAATGTTTAATTTGATCGATGGGGAACAACATGTGAAAAGGGTTGATTTAGTCAATCAATCAATCAATTATCTTTATTTGTAAAGCGTCAATTCATAACAAGTTTTATCTCGAGACACTTTAAAAAAAGTAGGTAAAAGACCTTACTGTTTGTCTTTTAACATTACAAAAGAGCAGGTAAAAGACCTTACTCATTGTTATGTTACAAAAAGCAGGTAAAAGACCTTACTCATTGTTATGTTACAAAAAGCAGGTAAAAGACCTTACTCATTGTTATGTTACAAAAAGCAGGTAAAAGACCTTACTCATTGTTATGTTACAAAAAGCAGGTAAAAAGACCTTACTCATTGTTATGTTACAAAAAGCAGGTAAAAGACCTTACTTATTGCTATATTACAAAGACCCGTCTTAATCTATAATGAGCGTAGCACTAGCAACTTTTAGCTAAAGTTACAGTGGTAAGAAAAAAACGTCCTTTTATCAGGCAGGCCATCCACCAACGATCCCGAGGAGCCTATGAGAGCTCATAGGAGCTCCCAGGAAAACATGTGGTTAGTAACTGAGATTTAGAGATAGCGACATGCAGTAATATGATGTATATGCACACAGGGAGTGTCCTCTTTAGTGTGCTCTTATCTGAAGTGTATCTTTAATCTTTGTCTCCAAATACAGAAAGTTTTTTAAATGTTAGATCCCCTAAATGAGTTAGTTGACAAATATTTGGTTTAACTTTTTTTTTCTCAAGCTTTCATGTTTCTATTTTGTTAGGTGAGTCTCTTTTAAGAAAATGATCCCTACCCTGCCGTTCTCTCTTATTTATTGCATAGCACACTTAATGATCTTAGAACTAACTCTTAAACCTTTGTTACAACTGTCTTTGTTTTCAAGGTCACCATGCTTCAGAGGTATTCAGAAAGCATCCGTGGCAACCTCACCAAAGTGCTACGTCTTAAGATAGTAGCGCTTGTCACAGTGGAGGTCCATGCGAGGGATGTCATTGATAAGCTGGCCAAAGCAGGCTGCAGTAACATTAATGCCTTTGAGTGGCTCTGCCAGCTGCGGCTATACTGGGAAAAGGTATGTACTGAGAAAAGCCAATGGGAATCACTGGAAGGAAACTATTTTTTGAAAAGTGAGGGGAGCCACAATTTCAGCAATTTTTAGTCCTGGCTTCGTTGCTTTTCAGTTGTTTTGTTTGATGAGGGCTGAAAAATCATCTGATCCTCTCAATGGCTGTTTTTCCTTTTTATGGTTCTAATCGCTATCTACCTTGACTTGGGAATTAGTACAGATACATTGTTTTGAATTATTCCAACTGCATTAGAAAAACATCTTTAAACTTTCTCCTTTTTTTCATCTATCAATAGGAAATAGAGGATTGCATAATCCGACAGACCAACACACATTTCAAGTATGGATACGAGTACCTGGGCAACTCTGGACGCCTTGTCATCACTCCTCTTACTGACAGGTTTCTATCAATCATTAGTCCTTCTCAGACTGCGTTTCTGCAAAAACACTGTCAATGTTACTTCATGTGTCACTTCTTAAATGTTTTTGTTTAATTTAATACTCATGCCCAGTTTTGTTAAACTAAAAGATTTAAGTAAACTACAATGGAGCAGAGGCAAGCAACCAAAAGCAATATTACTACATACCGGTACATACATTTATACGTTGACTTGGTAACTACTTGGCTCTTTTATATTCACAGATAAAAGTCTCATTTCAGTCTTAATTGTTATTCATCAAATTGCTTTTTTTGTGGACCTCGTGTTCAATACTAAGTCATGACATCCAATAATGCATTGTTTTATATTTTTCTATCAGTGCCTGTCTGTTTTCTTTGTCAAAAATAACAATTTAAAATATTCTGATCATATGGTATGCATTTAACAAAAAAACAAAAACAAAGTCTTCTTAAAGAAATGTTCAATGTTTGATTTGTTCAGGTGTTACATGACCCTGACGACAGCACTCCATCTCCATCGAGGGGGCTCTCCTAAAGGTCCAGCTGGCACTGGGAAAACAGAGACTACAAAGGACTTAGGCAAATCTCTGGGCATGTATGTGATCGTAATCAACTGCTCTGAAGGACTGGACTACAAGTCCATGGGACGGATGTACTCTGGTCTGGCACAGGTAGGGCTCATGCTGATAATGTTCATAATGAAGGTGACAATGATTTGATTTATAACAAAGATAATGTTTTCTCCCCTACATAAGAAGAAGTACAGTTTTTGTTTTTCATGATGCCATGTACGTGAGCATACTGGTCATTGTCAGAAACTTGGGTTGGTAAACGTGTCAGGGTCAGTTTTATTTCACAAAGTTGTTATTTAAACACTTATTTCATGCTTTGCCATGTTTTTAAAAAACATTGAACTACAGGCTGTTCTAGTTTAGAAAGGTTGCTCTTTCTCTGTATTTGTGTCGGCCATATTCATGTTTAAATAGACACCTGGGGCCCATTTCAGAAAGAAGGATCAAGTGTAACCCTGAGCTCTGAGGGTTTTTACCCTCAGGTAGGAAACACAGCTGAGTCCATTAAATCCACTCTGAGTAGGTTAATTGGGTGTTCTAACTGGGCGACTAAAAAAATAAGCCAACATTAATTGAGCCCCGATACTACGATTCACCATGGCAACAGGTGACAAAAAAGAGGTCATCGTATGTTTACCCTCTGGAAAACATACATCTTCATGTGGGCACAGGGTGAATATGAACAGGTTTTAAGAAGAACAAAACACTGCTGCTGCGTTAGCACGTAATGTAGGCTAGTCTATTCATTTAATATTTAATCAGAATTATAATAGCCTATTGCAACTGGTGGATTGGTATTAACCCTAAGTTTTATTTTCATAAAGATGCAATCCAGCAAGAGAAAAGTGACTTTAAAGCAGCTCAAAATGAATTATAAGAACAAACTAAGCTACCTTAATTTAATCATATTTGACATTGGCCGATTAAACAAAGTAATCTTCATTGAATTTCTATTGTATTCACACACAGGCTAATTGTCCTCTCACCTTTATCCTGTTTAGTTCTTAATTAGCCCTAATTAAATGAACATCTCCCGACGTAAATGTAGGCTCTTATTCCCTGCTGAGTAGTGCACCCCTTCATCTCGACGCTCCTCGACTAAAAGACAGTTTTATAGGCTATAGTAGGCTGTATGCTTAACGTATAATATTTAAGTTTAAGTTACCTTTCTCTGGAACGGCCTTGGGTTACCACTCTCTCGGGTTTGAGTGACCTCCCTCTCTGAAACGGGAAACCCAGAGTTTCCCACATCTCAGGATTAACATGCTCATTGAAACGGCCCCAGGTCGGTATGATCAAAACATGACAGTTGCTTTGTTATCAAGCTAATGAAAAAGAGTTTTACAAAGATTATTTTGTTTTTATTTCCACCCTGAACAGACAGGAGCGTGGGGTTGCTTCGACGAGTTCAATCGTATCAACATCGAGGTGTTGTCTGTAGTGGCCCAGCAGATCCTCTCCATCTTGTCTGCCCTCTCGGCCAAACAAACCAAGTTCCACTTTGATGGACAGCACATACATCTTGTCCGATCATGTGGAATTTTTATCACTATGAATCCTGGTAAGTTAATATTAATGTGTACCTGTATATATTGCATTCAAAGTTACCATCTTTTAATAAAAAAAATAAGTAGAGTATTAAGTTTGACAGATAATGATATTGTTAATAATTGTTTGTAACATTCTGAGTTGGTGTTTTAATTATTATTTTGTTTAGATAATGATTTTTTTCAGTTTTTGTTATTGTTGTATTTAGTCTCAATTCATTCTTCTTCCAAGGTTATGCTGGTCGGTCCGAGCTCCCAGACAACCTTAAGTCTATGTTCAGACCTATCTCTATGGTGGTGCCAGACTCCACTCTGATTGCTGAGATAATACTGTTTGGAGAAGGCTTCAACAACTGCAAGGTTCTACTAGTCAAAACACTATTACACTGCAAACTAGTAAAACAGAACTGATGGACAAAGAAAAGGCTGATGTGCATCTTACTCTAAAAGTCTTTATTTATTTAAAAATATTTGGCATTTACATATACAGGTTTTAGGTACAAGTATGTTTGTTTACTTCTCTACAGTAGTCTCTGTAAACACTTAAATTATTAGGATTATTATGTTGTGTTCATCTTTAGTATAAAAAGTGTCTTGCTTTTCAATACTGTACAACAACACCATGAACAGCAGCGTTATTCAATGTCTACAAAAAGTTGTGTACTGTCCAAAGTCCCAAATAAAGCACATATAAAGATTATATCCTGGTTTTTAAAAAACTAGGTATATTACCTGGAGTGCTCACTCAGAAAACCAGTGTACTTCCTGAACACTCTTTATTGGTAAAGATGAAAAGGTGGGTGAGGAATGAAGACTAAGACGAGGCAAACTCTGAAAACTGTTATGATTATGTATACTGATATATATTTAAATCAAAATGGGGATATATGTTAGGGCAGTAATGTCATTCTGAAGCCAAGATTATTGTACTGGTTATAGACAAGTACCAAAATGCAATTCATTCAGAAACCTGAAAAAACATGGAGTAATTACAATATCTGTCACTGTCTCACTTTTTCGCTACAACACCTTTTTTTTTTTCTAAAGTGAATGTACATGCGTTCAAACGCTTTAATTTATCTTCTTTTTCTTTTTCACTCTAAGTTTAAATACACAGTGTCTTCTAGAAAAATCTTGTTGAACAATCACAACCTTTATTCCTCCTTCTTTTATGGAAAGAGCTGAGGTAGACTCTTTCACACTTATGTTACCAAATCAATCAGATTTATTCAGTCAAAAACAATCCCTGCCTTTCAGTGTCTAAGTAAAACATTTCAATGTGTGTCTAAAGTTGTCAGGGTCTTGTTATTGTGTTGGATATGCCTGGATTAAATGTCAGAATGAGGAATGGTTTAGAGTCATGATCATCTATGTCCTCATACACAAATATTCTGCTTTCTGACTCTTTTCTGCCTACTATATCTATTATCATGTAATAATTTGAACTCTGTCTCTTTTTTGTGTCCTTATAGCTTCTGGCTAAGAAAGTGTTCACCCTGTACTCCCTAGCTGTGCAGCAGCTCTCTAAACAGGACCACTACGATTTTGGACTGCGAGCCCTAACTTCCTTGCTTCGTTATGCCGGGAAGAAGCGCCGAGTTTGCCCTAACGTACCCGATGAAGAAGTAGGTATCTCTCTGTTTCAATACTTTGACACTAAAGGCGTTTCAAAACTTGGTCAGGGCTCATTGGATCCATTTATACAAAACAAACCCTTAATACAGGTATTTTATATTCATTTTTTCAAAGATAAGTTGACTGTTTTATTTTGGTTTCCATATGACAAGTAGACATGTCTTACTCACTATAAACATCCTGGCTTTTCATTTTGGCCTTAACTAAACTTATACATTCAAAGGTCTACATGAAGTATTATATAATGCTTCAGCAATCATGGTTACCCGAGTCAGGTTGGCATCTGTCAAATTAAAACAATTTGTACATATTTGGCTCTCTGTGTTAATGGACCTCCACTGAATGATGAGCAAAAAAATTTTGAAACACGTTACAGGAATCTCGCTAAAAAAACTCCCATGCATGGGAATGGCAGGCTGTTGCTAAGGTTGTCATCTGTCATTTGGAGACTGTAAATGTTTGCTAGAAATTGAAATGGTGATAAAGTCTGTTTTGTCTCTCCTCAGGTTCTGCTTATGGCGATGAAAGACATGAACATAGCCAAACTGTCGTCTTCAGATGTTCCGCTGTTCAACGGGATTACCCAGGACTTGTTTCCTGCTGTAGAGACACCTGTTATAGACTATGGCAAAGTAAGTTAGTGGTGCAGATTACAATTCCTATTGTTATTGTACACCAATGGCCTAATTCACTTAGATGGATTGCGGGCACTAAAAGCTTTAACATAATTTGCTCCCGCTATCTGCTCCGTGTTATGGTCTAATTCACAAAGGTTTTAGCGCTAATGATATTCAAGTGCAAACATGCTAATCCCATTAATGCACATTCACGCACCACTCAAGGACACATTAGACATGTGGCTGCAGGATCTGGGGATCAAACCCCTGCCCTTCTGGTTAAGAGTTGACCGACTCTATCAGTGTCAGCTGTCCCTTTTATTCTAACCTGCTCTGAAGATAAAAAGTATTTTAGACCATATTTTATTAAGTAACATCAAAACAAATTAAAACTCCAAATAGGGGGTACCAGTAGCCTAGTGGTTAGTGCGCGAGCCCCATGTACAGAAGGGGCTGCCCGGATTCAGACAGGCCATCCAACAATCCCATGAATAGGGTTAATATGTTAACCCCAGAGGATGTCATGACAGCATGCATCACTGACTATACGTCCATCTTTTTCTGTGGTTTTGTTGCAGCTGAAGGAGGCTATAGAGGCTGAGCTTCGACAGAATGGTTTGCAGGTTTCTGCTTTTGCACTGACAAAAGTCATCCAACTTTATGAGACCAAAAACTCTCGACACTCCACCATGCTGGTGGGAAAGACTGGCAGCGCTAAGAGTGTTACCTGGAGGATCCTGCAGTGTGCTCTCACTGCCATGCATCACAAGGGAGTGCCTAGTTTCCAGTTGGTCCTGGTGGGTGAAAGTGGCAAAATTGCACTGTGATTTATTGGCTAATACTGCTTTAATAAAAGAACATTCAGAGGTTTTTTTAAGCAAAACTAGTTCAGGTAGTAAAATTTGTGCAAACTGACAATTTATTTTTGTTTGTTTTTATTTCAATTCTCCAAGAAGAGCTCTCTCTTAGGCAATGGATTGCACCTACTTATTCTCAAGAAATAACAATTGAGCGCCTGAGCAATGACGTTAAAAAAAAAAAAAAGATTGTGTATTGCTTGCAGGTTCCAATATTTGGGTACACATGGCCCCAAAGTACAGAGTACGGAAGCAAGAAGAGAGACATAATTATTATATATCAGCCACTGAATACTTCATATTGAAATTTAAACACCACTGAATTCAGAGCATTGAAATATTTTACTTTGAAAACCATATATCATATCTGAATTTATTTCTTCAGAATTTACCTCTTTGAAATTCAGATCCAAAAATTAAAGTCAAATGAAACATCCGGGCTTCCCAGGACAGGCTAGGCAATAGAGCTTAAGTATTCAATGGCATTCAAAAATATCTCTTATTTCCACAGCAAACAGCTACCCTACTGTCCACCTTTCTTCAGTTGTAAAGCATTTCTTTGATTTGATTGGTTGGGAGAGACAAACTTAAGTTAAGTGCATAATTAGGGTTGACATTTCCATTTTTTAAATATTTTACAGTGATAATCAGGTTAATGTTTTCTTCTTATGTTGTCTTTACATATTACTGGCTCCTGCTTATCTTCCAACTAATCCTTCTATATTTATACCATTGCCCATTTGTTTTTCCTTTTCCTCTGTCCTTATTATACACTATCTGAGATTATGGAGAAATTCAACTGATTGTTGTTAATAAAAGAACACATCTGTCTCCTCCTTCCTTTAGTCTTATACATGTTTATACCAGTCTAAAAGTCAAATTCTAGCCAACTACAGAGCTTAAGAATGTGTCTAATCAGAAGAGATATAATCCTTTTCCATTAAAGCTGTCCTTGTGTGTTTCCATCTTCTGAACTATGAAACTACTAAACATAGTCCAGCTATTGTAATGCACTTTTCATCAACTTGTTTATCATATTCTCTCTCCTTTTGAACAACAGGATTTCCCTCTAAACCCCAAAGCGATGAGTCTAGGAGAGCTGTATGGAGAGAATGACCTCTCAACCAATGAGTGGAGTGATGGAGTGCTTTCCACCCTCATGAGAACCGCCTGCGCAGGTCCTGAACACATTCTTCATGTACATGTAACCTTAGTCAACAATCTAGAGAATGATTCAAGATCCGAAATTCTTCCTCTGGCCAAAACAATGTAGCAATTTCTAATGTTCATACCGACATTGAAACATTTAACATAATAATTTGTTTTCAAGCTCAATATCCACAGGTTGGAATTTTTTTATTTACAAATTATTAGATAAAAGAACCTCAGTGTTTCCCCTAGGTTTACAGCATTGGGGGGGGGGGAGGACACGCCGACAAGGTTCAAGGTTACTTTTAATGACAGCTGTCCTTTTCTATCGGAAAGGTATCCTTAAATGAATCCAAAAAGAAATCCTAAAAAAAAAAACCTTCAATGGGGGGCCGTTGGGGGGGCGGGCCGCCCCCCTAATATAATGGTAGGGGAAACACTGGAACCTACATATCAAAGCATTACCAGTACATTGACCAATTAATCATTCTGTATAAATATTGTTAGCATCATTTATATTGTGATATATCAACTTTGCAAACCTATGTGCATGTAATTTTCCATTTCTAACCCACTTTGCACCTGTTCCTCATTCTTCAGATGACAAACCAGATGAGAAGTGGATAGTGTTTGACGGGCCTGTTGACACACTTTGGATAGAGAGTATGAACTCTGTCATGGATGACAACAAGGTGCTAACACTCATCAATGGAGAGAGAATTTCCATGCCCGAACAGGTGAGATCAGAATGAGAAACCAGAGTCACTGCTTTTTATTATTATTTCACTATTACATTATTTAAGGCATCTTGAAACAGGAAATACGGCAATTGTCATTATTCATTTTTCCATGTAGATAGTTAAGAGTATTCAGTTTCTTAAATGCATTGCTTTCATTGCAGCTACTTCACTCTTAAAATGATATAATTTAAAAGTTGACTTTAGAACTGGAACAAACAACCACTGTGTGTCTTGTTAAAAAAGTTAGCTTTTAAACCAAGTGCTGGAAAACCAATTGTTTTAATTTGACATCCTCACTGTTGTACATTATTTATGTTTGCTATTTTCAGAGTTCTGTCTCTTCAGAAATTAATTTTTTACAATGACATGAATCAGGTGTTTTAATATAGTCAACTTACATATCTTGATCAGTGAATTAAACGATCAAACAGAAAAAGCTAAATTAATTCTTTGGTCGTAGGTGTCTCTGCTGTTTGAAGTGGAGAACCTGGCACAGGCCTCTCCAGCTACTGTGTCCCGCTGTGGGATGGTCTACAATGATTACGCTGATCTGGGATGGAAGCCTTTTGTTCAATCCTGGCTGGACAAACGACACAAGGTACAATGGATTCATTACTAATCATTTCACATGATACTCTTTCCTGGTTCGCTAACCATCTAACCATTACTCGATTTCTTCACAGGCTGAAGTGGAACATTTAAAGCCGTTATTTGAGAAGTATATAGAGAGCACGCAGGACTTTAAGAAGGTCAACTGTAAGGAGCTGATTCCAATCACTGAGCTTAATGGAATCACCTCATGCTGCCGTCTCTATGACTCCCTAGCTACATCCAGCAATGGGGTAGGAGTAATGCATTTCTTTCCCTCATTTTTCATTGTAATTTCTACCATGAACAATCATTTTCTAGTGTGCCTTTAATGTTGAGCTTTAATGATTTTTGGTGTAACTAACTGTAATATAAACATGCATTATGAATTTTCAATTTAGTTCATAATCCCCATCATCCCATCCAAAACAATCCCGATTGTAAAAAGTTTTTTTTGTCTCCCATTCTCCAGATAAATACCTCCAACACAGAAAACCTGGGTAGGATGGTCTCTCTGTGGTTCGTCTTCAGCCTTATCTGGTCCATCTGTGCCTCTGTTGATGAGGATGGACGCAGGAAGATCGACAACTTCCTGCGGGAGATGGAGGGAACATTCCCCATCAGGGTTTGAAAAGCTCTTTTGTTGCATGCCATTGTCTTCTCTTCGCATTTTTTTCTGCACCTTTCCCTTTCAAAAAAGGTAAAAAAGTTTATTTATAAAGTGTATTTGTTTTGAATTACTGATATATAAAGACAGTCAAAATGTACTGTCCCTTATACCTAGGTTTCTTGTTTACCCCACACTTCAACTGCTGTGGTTTAACTTTGTTTTGATACAACAACAAAAAGTGACAATGAGGGCTACCAGAGCTTTCTATCCATCATTTTTATTTGGGTTGATATCGCAAAGGTAGTTTGATAAAATTACAGTTAACAAAAAAGTAAGGAAGATTTTGTGCCAAGCTAAACATTTTAGACAAACACACTAACTCTTTTTCTACAGTATCACTTACCATTATGGCATACCAGTATCATGTTAGAATGCATTAATGTCAGCATATTAAATGCACCAGTGGCATGATACTATTGAGGGTTCAATATGTACACCCCCACTTTCTTTTTTTTAAAGATTTATTTTTTGGTCTTTTTGTGCCTTTATTGGAGAGATTCAGTAGATAGAGTCGGAAATCAGGGAGAGAGAGAGAGTGGGGAATGACATCCGGGAAAGGAGCCACAGGCCAGATTCGAACCTGGGCCACCCGCTTGTAGGACCACAGCCTCCATACATGGGGCGCATGCTCTAACCACTGCGCCACCTGCGCCCCTACACCCCCACTTTCCATGATCAAACTGAATGGATGTGTTTTAGCATGCACTAACATTCTCCACACTTTGTTTGACGCCTCTTTCAGGACACAGTTTATGAGTATTATGTGGACACCAAGAACAAAATCTGGGCTTCTTTTGAAGAAAAACTGCCTAAGAGCTGGCGCTACAATGCAGAGTAAGTAACCAAGTCAATCTTTATGCCTACCATAAACTGTTGTTGTCAGACATGTTTGAGGAGCCATGTTTTATTCATTCATCCATCTGCTGATTTTGAGACTGTAAAAATACCTGGATAACCCAAAGCCTATAAGAACAATACATTTTACATGTCCCTCTCTACTCTCTTGAAGGGCTCCATTCTATAAAATAATGGTTCCTACAGTGGACACAGTTCGCTACAACTTCTTAGTGGAGGCTCTGGTGTTAGGTCAGTACCCAGTGCTGATCTCTGGGCTAGTGGGCACTGGAAAAACCTCAGTGGCCCAGAGCATCCTGCAGGACTTAGATAACAAGTGGACTGCCTTGACTATCAACATGTCTTCACAGGTTGGTGCCTTCACAGCTTTCATTTATTTTTTCACCACTGCTTTCCTTTCAAAATTGGATTGCCAAATTATTTGTTGTTCTAATAGATTCTGTATTTTTTTCTCTTTCTCTGTCATTATTATTGTCCAGACAACGTCTAATAACATCCAAGCCATAGTGGAGAGTCGCATAGAGAAGAGAACCAAAGGCGTGTTTGTGCCAACAGGAGGGAAGCGCCTGCTTTGTTTCCTGGATGACCTAAACATGCCAGCTCATGACCTCTTTGGCTCCCAGCCACCGCTGGAACTGCTGCGCCTTTGGATCGACTATGGCTTCTGGTATGACCGCCAGAAACAGACCCTAAAGTTTGTCAAGGTGAGATAGATCATTTCTGAAGAGTGTGAAATTATTTGCAACATCAGAGATCAACCACGTAATTAAACTATTAGTCCTCTAGACTTAGTATAACAATGTACAATTAGATATGCTGACATGCTGCTTAAAACTCAGGATTTTCAGAATTGCATTGAAAGTATTAATAAGTTAATATTTATACTAAGATAGGCTATGATTTATTTGGAGAAAACTGAGCACCCCATATAGCTGGAATGGAATGATCCTTGTGTCATTAGCAATATTAGACTGTGAGATTAGTCGACTGAGGTTCTTTCAAGTGAATCGTTGAAGATCAGACTATTTGGGGTCAGACCTACTAATTAACATCCTTTTCAGTAAGAGAGAAACAAAACATGTAAAAAAAAAAAAAATAATCAGTTGGTGTTAATTTCTTAAACAACCCTTTAACTCTATTAAGTGTGTTTATGTATGTGTCTCGTTCTTTAGGACATGTTCTTGTTGGCATCAATGGGACCTCCTGGTGGAGGGAGGACTCACATTTCTGGGCGCTTACAGAGTCGATTCAACCTCATCAATATGACCTTCCCTAATGTAAGTCCTACTGACATGTTTCCCTCCCCTTCAAGCCATGCCCCATCTTCTCTGCTTAAATCTGTGACAATGTAAAGTAATAAGTAGAATAATTGTATTTACTCATAAGCATTCAAATGTGTTAAAATTTAAACCTTTCTTACTATGCACTCCTCTTAAAATCAACTCTATTTGAGCCTTTTAAAGATATCTGTCTTTTTTAATCTGTTTATTGAACTTCTGTCAACCTTTTTTTCTATTTTTCTGTGTATGTTTTTATAGTGTTTCTCTTCACTCTGTTTTTTGTATTACCACAAAGAATTAAGAGTTGCTTTTGAAATGAGGGGTGCAATATTGCATTCAGGAAGTGAAAAACCTGACCCTTGAGTTACATTGACTCAAGAACATGTGAAGTTGAAATTGATCTATCTTTTGAACATGGTGTTATTATATCTTAAAAAGCTGTACTGGACTTGAACACATCTGTCCTTTTTGTTATGCAGGAGTCCCAGATCAGACGGATCTACAGTACCATGATCAACCAAAAGCTGCAGGGGTTTAAGGAGGAGGTGAAGCCCATTGGAGACATTCTGACCCAGGCCACCTTAGAACTGTATTATGCTGTTTCTGCTCGTTTTCTTCCCACTCCAGCAAAGATACACTACCTCTTCAACCTCAGGGATATCTCCAAGGTACAAATTAATATATATACTGTGTGTGTGTGTGTGTGTGTGTGTGTGTGTGTGTGTGTGTGTGTGTGTGTGTGTGTGTGTGTGTGTGTGTGTGTGTGTGTGTGTGTGTGTGTGTGTGTGTGTGTGTGTGTGTGTATATATATATATACTGTAGATGGATTAGAGCTTTATGAGTAAACCACCTGCATAGCTGTACAGAGAGTACCTACAGAAAATGGGTTTGTTAAGAAAGTTAATACCACAAGCCTAATTTACAAAAGGTAGTTCAATTTTGTTACTATAGACTTTATTTGGCATCCCAGATATATTGGATGAACCAGATGCCTTGTTTAAGTGTTTTAGCAAACATTCTAGTTCTCAACAACTGTCCACAGATGGGTCCTCTTACATACACCTAATATCAATTATTCTGGGTGTGACATACTGTAGGTCAGAAAAAGATTAAGATTTCTATGAAGATTGATTATACGATCATACTATGTTCAAATGTTACATGAGACAATGAGATAAATGTATTTTTGTCCCATTACACCTGTTCTAGGTCTTTCAAGGTCTGTTAAGAGCTCACCCTGACTTCCATGATACCAAAAACAACATCACTCGACTCTGGATCCATGAGTGCTTCAGGTAACCAACCTAATAGTCAAGTTTCATGTGTTTATTCTGTGTTTATGCACATGATAACTTGTTGTGTTTCTTTCTTTATTTCAGAGTCTTCTCGGACAGGCTTGTAGATCGCAGTGACATTGAGGTCTTTACTGCTTTGCTTGGGGAGAAACTGGCCTCACTCTTTGACCTCACGTTCCACAACATCTGCCCTAACAAACAGCCACCTATATTTGGTACATTTACGACTATAAACACATAAATCAATTTCAATCAATCAGTTTTTTTTTGTATAGCGTCAACTCATAACAAGTGTTATCTCGAGACACTTTACAAAAAGCAGGTAAAAGACCTTACTCATTGTTATGTTACAAAGACCCGGCCTATCCTGTTCATACATCAAAGCTTTGAAAAATGCTTGTGTGTATTAGATATAGGATTGATTTATAAAATGATGTAACTGACACACGACTATAAGTAGCTTTAAATGTGTTTATTGTGTTAATTTTTCTGTGTATGGTTCAGGTGATTTCCTGAGCGGTTCTGGTGTGTATGAAGACCTGCTGGATGTCAAAGGTCTTAAGAAGTTCATGGAGACGCAGCTGGAAGACTACAACTTGACACCGGGTGTAGTGCCCATGAGCCTGGTGCTCTTCCGTGATGCTATTGAACACAGTACGTCAACACAACCTTATACACATGTTTAGTGGGACAGTTCAATCTCCTAATGCGTCAATCCCCCCTTTCACACTTACCTGACTCCATCTCATCTTCTAATCCTCTTCACTCTGATGTGTCTTTGATAGTCACAGTTTTACAGTTTTACAATCCAGGCCCAGTTTTAAACTCCTCTGTAAGGCATAACATAAGGGGGTCTAAACTCCTCTGTAGAGAAGCTGTCTCTGCAGGCTCTTCTGTCTACACTCTGCTGTCAATGGCCTGTTTGCCACTCCAAATCACTATCACTCCATTACTCATGGCTCAACAATTACTTCTATTAATTGTTGGTATGTTCAAATGTGGAGGGATTTCCAGACAATATTTATTTATGATTTATGATATTCCACAAATATTTGGAAAATACAATTAACAAAGGATGTAATGATTCATTCAACTCCTGATACGATTCACGATACAAATCTCTCACAATTTATTTTACAAAATGAGACTGTTGCCAAATGATGAGTGAAACAGATTCCTTTAGGGGCTCAAACCCGCTTGTCAGTGTGGTTTGGCATTTTAATGTTGTTGTTTTTTTCTCTCAACAAGGGGAGGTGATTGGAGCTTCTCGTTGTGGTGTAGATTAAATGCTGCATCATGTTGGTTGTGTTATTTGTGTAGTTCTCTGTCTTCTTGTAATATCTGCTCACAGTTTTTGTGTCGTCTGTTATCTTCTCACTTCTTTCATTTTCTGTCTTGGGGAAGCCAAAATGCTTCCACACCTCCGATTTAAAAGACAGTGGTTCTAAATCTTACTCTGCAGCTGCTGACGCTCATGATATTATTGCGATTCATTTTTTAGAGTACAATTCACTTAGCAGACGCTTTTATACAAAGCGACGTACATCAGAGAGTAAGAACAACACAAGCAAGGATCTAGGAAAAAGGGAACATTGTCAGTAAGAGCAAACGATCAGCTTTGAGTCTGATTGGACACACAGGTGCTGACAGGAAGTGACCAGAGGCAAAGCACAACATTGAGGGCAGTTCTTGACAGCTCTAATCAGTATAGAAACCATCTTACCGATGTGAATCTTGACACCTTTGAATCGATTATCATGATTTTATGATGAATCTTTACATCCCTACAATTAACTGTTACATTGTAGATTGTTCAGAACGCAGAATAATATTCTACAAACATGCGATAATATTTTGTTAGAGAATTTGAATATATGTTTTAAAAAAACTAGTCTGCTGTACAACCACAAAGAGGTCAATAAAATTTTGATTTTATATATTTTTACCATATGCAGCATGCATACAAAAATGTCCTCCTCTAACGCTAACCCTTTCATACTAAAGAACAGTGTATGGTTGTTTTCCTTACCACTAAATAAAGTCAGGCCCAAATTTTATAATAAAACTAAATAAAGAAAAAAGGCTGTCATCCATCCAATCACCCAACAACTTGTCAAATGATACTTGATGTCACATCTAAAATTTAAAAAAAGTAAGGTTATGGTGATTATTATTTTTTGTGCTCTGTCCACAGTAACTCGAGCAGTACGTGTGATCAGTCAGCTTAGGGGCAACATGCTGCTGGTCGGTGTGGGAGGTTCTGGTAGACAGAGCCTGTCTAAGATGGCTGCCTTCATCTGTGATTACCAGGTGTTCCAGGTGGAAGTCACCAAGCAGTACCGCAAACAGGAGTTCAGAGATGGTGAGATTTACTGCACACTACACTCCTATCACAGGCCTACACAGAAAGTCAATAAAGAAAGTCTGCAACCAATGCCCCTAATTTTGGAAAATTTAAAGAGCTTAAACTGAGAATTCAAAAAATATATTACTTTATATTCAGTGAATGTAATGAGACCCCAGCTGATTGACCATGATTTTTGTGTGATAAATAATCTGTCTTAAATCAACTCCCCTCATCTTTTCGTCAGCCAGCTGTCTAACACTAGGAGATTTTCCCGTCTGTGTTTTCAGATATCAAGAAGCTGTACCGTTTGACTGGTGTCGACAACAAGCCTACAATCTTCCTGTTCAATGACACTCAGATTGTAGATGAGTCCTTCCTTGTGGACATCAATAATATCCTAAGCTCTGGAGAGGTGCCTAACCTCTACAAGCCGGATGAGTTTGTTGAGGTCAGTGTTTTCTGAAAAACTCTTTGTCTCTCCCATCTGTCCATTACTGTAATGTAAACACCTTGGATTACACTTCCTATTTTGTTTTTTTCAGTTATTCAATCTCAAATATTAAAAATAACATATATTCCTTTTGTTTAAAATTAGATTAATTTGGTCATAGCAGTACAGCTTTTTTTAATTTAAGGAATATTAAATTATTATATTAATTTTATTAATTCTAAATGTTTGGAGTTGTTTAAATAACTAAAAATTAAAATAAATACAAGAATGTTGTTCTTTTTAAAATATTGTTGCATTTTTAAATTGTTCCTTGAACAATTTGATGATCTGATAATCTTCTCTCAAATATTTTTAAAGTAACAGATTTATTTGAAGTTTTGACATCATGACACTCTCCAGGTATGCAACGCTCTGTCAGAGTCAGCCAGGAAAGACAAAGTGGTGGAGACTCCTGACTCGTTATTTCACTACCTGATCGAGCGAGTGAGGAACAACCTGCACATAGTTCTCTGTATGAGTCCAGTGGGAGAGCCCTTCAGGTAGAGCAGCACACTGTGTCTTATAACTCTCTGGTTCACAATGTGTCCACTCTTTTCAACTCACAGGTTTAAGGAAATTAACCAAGTATGATTAACAATGCAGTCTTTAGAGGCTGAACAGCAATACAGCAGTTATTTCTCTAGCAAATCTATGTGCAATATTGCTTTAACAAAATTGTTTGTACATTACATAAACTGCTGTATGTCACTTTGTCATTAAATTAACTTCCAGTACTTCCAATCCTGATGCAGTTGTGTTCATAAATCACCAAGTAACCTGTATTTCTGTAATTAGTCAATTTATGCTAAAACTTTGTAATAGAATGAAGAAGTATTTTTGCACAAATGATATGCACTTGACATCTGAGCCAGCTGGGACCTTCTATCCAAAGGAGATGTAGTGTCATTGGTGGCCTTTTGCCAGATTAAACATTTTAATGCCTGTTTAATACTTGAGGGAATGAGGTCTTGCATTCACCCCCTTCACCAACATATTTACACACTTTTTCTCCTGGTAATTAGTGCCAGAGAGTAGTGGTGGCACTGAACTTGGTAATTTTAATGGCATGCACCATTACCAAGATTAACCCTTTTCTGAGGGAGAATACATCCTTGACACCAGTGGTATAGTGGTGGTTTAAGAAGTGGGTATACTCTTTGGAGACTGAAAAATAAGTGGGCACACTCCGTATGCCTTTGTATACACTGCTTGACACCCTTGGCCTTTCCAGAACTATTAAATAGGAACTTCATGTATTGAAAGCCTTTGCAGAAAAAAACGTTTTTATACTTTATATGCATACACAGGGTGCAAAATAACTTTCTTTATTTTCAATAGTTTCATCATCAACGCCAACTACCTAATGTACTTGTAGTGATTTGCTGACCCTTTAAAAAAATTAATATTTAATCAGATTATATCTTATCAAAGTTTTAACAAAAAGCTCTTTCTCAATAGAAACCGCATCCTTCAATATCCGGCACTGGTAAACTGTGCCTCCATTGACTGGTTCTGTGAGTGGCCCAAAGACGCCCTGCTGGAGGTAGCTGAGAGGTACTTGGATGGAATGGACCTGGGCTCCCTGGAGGGGGTGAGGCATCTATGCACACACAACTTAAAAAGAGTGACTGTAGATTTCACCCTGTTATTGTAGAGGTGTGTCTTTAAAGCAATGATACATTTTTTATTTTATTTTTTATATTTATTTTTGGGCTTTTTTTTCCTTTATGCGATAGGAAAGTGAATAGAAAAGGAAACTGGGGGGAGAGAGAGTGGGTAATGACATGAAGGAAAGGAGCCACAGGTCGGACTTGAACCTGGGCTGCTCACTTTGACGATGATAGCTTCTTAAATTGTACACCACCTAACCGCTAGGCCATCTGTGCCCTGCAATGATAAATTCTCATACAAAATTCTGCTAAACCCAAATTATGTTCCTAATCTGTTCCTAATCAACCTATGATGTCACTGCTTCAACTTTAACAAGTGAGCTGAAGTGCTTCAAGTGCTGCTATGAGAATCGATTAGTCATACACATTTTATATTCTACTTATTTTATATTCATGGGCCAAGTTGCAGTCTGAAAAAATGAATGATGTTCCCAAGGAAGACTTGTAGAGTTGAAATAAATTGGAAGCATCTTGTAGAACAAGAACAGCTGATGTAAAATGTCCAAATGTGAATTTAGACAGTGCGCCCTATTTAACCTCAGAGGCGGTATTTCCAAAAAGTAAAAGGAGTGGCACCGTAGTCTCTCAACTGGAGGGTCAGCTGTTTGATTCCCAGCTCCTGCAGTCACATGTCAAAGTGTCCTTGGGAAAGACACTGAAACCCAAATCACTCTGGCTTCTGCATCATCTGTGTGTGAATGTGTTTGAATGAGATTAGTAAATGCTCATTAACTCTTTACATAGAATCTTCTGCTGTGTGTGTGAATGTGATGTGAATTGGTAAGTTTGACCTCTAATGTAAAAAGCGCATTGAGCAGTCAGAAAGTTAGAAAAGCATTATACAAGCTCAAGTCCATTTGACCATTTAAAATGTTTGATTTAAAAGTTAATTCTAGTGTAATAAAAGATTTTGGATGTGACCAGGTTGTAGTCCTTGTTTGAATGTCATGTTAACTATTTTTGAAATACTCTGTTTTGGTAGATCCAGACAAAGGTTGCCAGTATCTTTGTGACAACACATCAGTCGGTAGCGCAGGTCTCTGAACGGATGAAGTTGGAGTTGAGGAGATATAATTATGTGACAGCCACCAATTACCTGGAGCTGGTGTCTGGATACAAAAAGTAAGAGCTTTTCAACTTTCTCCTTCAATTATTCTTGCTTCTCGTTTCTTCTCCTGTAACACAATTTTTGTGTGTCCATGCAAAGGACTGAGATATTCTTCAGCCAGGGCAGTTGGCAGAAGGTTTTTAGTACATAATAATTATATTTTGATCAACATAAATAATGTTATGGCTTCATTTGATTTTTGTTAAGACTTCTTTTGGGCCTCTTATGCTGTTTTTAAAGAGACAGGACAGTGGATAGTGTCAGAAATCAAGGAGAGAGAGAGCGCTATAAAGCCTCTGTACATGTGGCAAGATAACCACTAGGCCAACGTGCCTCATGTCATGGCTTTTTATACTTACTAACACAATGAAGGAAACTATGTTGCAGAGGAAGCAAAAGAAACAAATTGATTAATGTATCACTCTAAAACAACAGCCCAGGCTTGTCTCTATCACTACCACCTGACAGTGTGTGTGTGTCCACCCAGGCTGTTGGCAGAGAAACGCAGTGAATTGGGAGAGCAGGTGAGCAAGCTGCGTAATGGCCTATTCAAGATCAGTGATACCCGGGAGAAGGTGGAGGCCATGTCTGTTGAGCTGGAGGAGGCCAAGAAGCAGGTGGCCGACTTCCAGAAGCAGTGTGAAGAGTACCTGTCTGTCGTCGTACAGCAGAAACGAGAGGCCGATAAGCAGCAGATAGTACGTTAGTTTTACAATATACACAAAATACTACATTGATAAAGTAATTGTCAGATTAAGAAATGTAAATGTTTCACATCCATCTACCCAATCAACTTGACTAGTTTACATTAGTGTTCTATTCTTTGAAAGGGTCTTTGATATTTGTCTTATTGAAAAAGACAGATAAAGTCTAAACACACTGCTGTGTGTGTGTGTGTGTGTGTGTGTGTGTGTGTGTGTGTGTGTGTGTGTGTGTGTGTGTGTGTGTGTGTGTGTGTGTGTGTGTGTGTGTGTGTGTGTGTGTGTGTGTGTGTGTGTGTGTGTGTGTGTGTGTGTGTGTGTGTGTGTGCGTGTGTGTGTGTGTGTGTTTTTGTTAAGACTGTGAGTGCTAACAGTGAGAAAATTGGAGCAGAAGAGTTGCAGTGTAAAGCTATGGCTGAGAATGCACAGAGAGACCTGGATGAGGCCCTTCCTGCCCTTGAAGAGGCCATGAAGGTAGATTTTTGTCCTGTTGACTTTTTAAACCTGCCATTCCCTTTTTTGTCTTTCCTTCATGTGCTGATTATACTGTTACACTTTTCTACTTCGCCAATGTAAGCACTTTGTCATTTAAGTCTGAATTTGTTTAAAAGGCAGTATAGTATAGCTTCTTCTATCCAAGCATTCTCAATTCCTTCCTCCTTTTTCACATAGGCTCTGGAGTCTCTGAATAAGAAGGACATGACAGAGATCAAGTCATACGGCCGTCCTCCAACACTGGTAGAGACAGTAATGCAGGCTGTCATGATCCTTCTGTGCAAAGAGCCGACCTGGGCAGAGGCCAAGAGACAGCTGGGTGAGAGCTTTGAGAGTGAATCTTAGGAAAATATAAATATGTGGAATTGGACCAAAAAAATGCAAACTTGTTTGTTGTTTTTTTCCTAATAATGTTTCTGGCAGGTGAGTCCAACTTCATCAAAACATTAGTTAACTTTGACAAAGACAATATATCAGACCGCGTGTTGAAGAAGATCGGCCAGTATTGCAGGCAGGCAGATTTCCTTCCAGAGACTATCGGCAAAGTGTCACTAGCGGCCAAATCCCTCTGTATGTGGGTCAGAGCCATGGAGGTAAGAGGTTGTCTTCTGGCTACCAGAAATTAGTAACACACTCACACCTGTAACAAACTAATATGAGATGTATTTGTTCAATGTATGACAGCAAGGGCCTATTCAAAACACAGTACTATTTGTTAAAGAGGACATATTATCCCCCCTTCTCCACCTTTTCAAACAGTCCCCTGTGGTCTAAATAAAACATCTGTGCTGTGCTTTGGTCAAAATATAACATGAATCAAGCACCAGAGGAGGTTTGTGACCCTGTATAAACCAGCTCTCTCAGAATGCTCCGTTTTGGTGTGTGTGTCTCTTTAAATGCAATGAGGAGGGGAGGGTATTTTTTAACCAGAATCCCACTGTGACATCACAAGGAGAGCACATTTGAAAATTAGCATTTTTCTCTGTGTTGTAAGACTTATGCAGACCATAAACAAAGGACTGGATGGGTTTATTTCACATTTTGGGGGTCAGTAGGCACTCAGGTTACCCAAACATATGTTCAGAAACACTGTAGAAGTGGATTTTTCATAATATGCCCCCCTTTAAATGATACAGGGAAAAATTACAGAGAATGTAATTGTCTTATGTGTATGTTGCTCCAGGTTTATGGGCGTATCTTCAGGGTGGTGGAGCCAAAGAGGGCCCAGCTGAACACTGCCACCACCCAGCTAGCCGAGAAACAGGCTGCATTGGCGGAGGCCCAGAACAAACTAAGAGAGGTAAGAAGCCTAGTGTAGGGGCGCGCTGGTGGCGCAGTGGCAGGGCGCGAGTCCCATGTGTTGAGACTCTCATCTCAAGCAGTAGGCCCGGGTTCACTTCCACCCATGGCCCCCTTCCACTTGTCATTCCCCACTCTCTCTCCCTGGTTTCCAACTCTATCCACTGTCCTCCCTCTGAATTAAAGGCACGAAAAAAGCCCAAAATAAATCTTTAAAAAAAAAAAAAAAAAAGCCTAGTGTATCCATCAGCCTGATCGATTTGATAACCTTGTGTTTGTGCAGGTGGCTGAAAAGCTAGAGCACCTGAAGAAGCAGCACGGTGAGAAGCTGGCCATGAAGGAGAGTTTGAGGAGGAAATCCGAGGAGATGGAGGTGAAGCTTGATCGAGCTGACAAACTGGTAACTGGACTTGCTGGAGAGAGGGTCCGCTGGGAGGAAAGAGTTGCTGTAGGTCTTACACACACACACAAACACAACCACACACGCACACACAATTAATTAGAAACTACTTCAAAATCCAGTCCAATAGTCCACCCACATGTGTTTGTGTGTGTGCTTCAGGGTCTTGAAGAAAACATGGGATACCTGGTAGGAGACTGCCTACTAGCAGCATCTTTCCTTTCCTACATGGGACCCTTTCTTTCCAACTATAGAGATGAGTTGCTTGCCATCTGGCTGAAGGAGGTGAGGAACACACACACACACACACACACACAACACACAAACAACTCACAAACCTCATAAATACATACAGTATATCCTAGTTTGCCTGTTAGTGAAATGCTCGTCATTTCTTTTAATTTTCTAACATTACTGGCAAATCATGAAAGATAATTTTCCTCTATGAAACTGTTCATTATATTTATGCTTTGATGGTTGTATTTCTTACACAACATATGTTTCAGCCTCTTCCCATCTGTCTCATCTCCATGACCCATTGTTTCCCTCTCCATAGGTCAGAGACTTTGAAATTCCATGCACTCCCGGGTTCAGTTTCTCAACATTTCTGTCCAAGCCTACATCAGTAAGGGACTGGAACATTCAAGGCCTGCCCTCTGATGCATTCTCTACTGAGAATGGAGTTATTGTCACTCGTGGAAACCGGTCAGTTCAACTAGAAATATTTCATTTGTTTCGGGATTAATTAGCTTTTATTTAGTGTATATAGTAAAAAACACATTTTGGGTTTTTATTATACTTTTGGACTTGGCTTTTTACTTCACAAGACTCATGTTTAATATTGCAAAGAAAGGTATTAAAATAACTCCAAACTTCTACATTTCTTTTAAGATGGCCACTGATGGTGGACCCTCAAGGCCAAGCTCTGAAGTGGATCAAGAATATGGAAATAACAAGAGTAAGTATCAATCCAGATAAACTGACTCAGATTCCTGTTGAATGTTTGAATCATTACAGTTAAACAGAAACATTTCAGGGACAATCAAGGACAATCAATCAATGTGTGAGACTACATAGGGAAAAAAAGTAATTGATTTTCCAGACTAAAATTCAAATTCAATCAAATTTAAAAATGTGGTGAATGATCGCTTTTCATTACTTCACATTTACCATATGTCTCTTGTGTTTTTCTGTATGGTGAGCAGTAAATACAGTGTGCTTTGAAACAACAGTAAAGTTAGTACAAGACCATTCCCCAAACACTGCGACTCACAGAATGTTATGATTTGCAAAACATTGAAATTCCATATTTGGTTGAAAATAACACAAGACAACTTATCAAAATGAGAAATGCTGGGTTTTAAAAAAATAAAAACATTGTCAGTGACCAGAGTTTGTTGCTGCAGTTGTAACCCCCCCATGCAGAGAGAAAACCAGTGCATGAAGAAAATCAAATGTATTGAAGAAATATTATCATGATGTTAAGGAAATGTGGCCACCTTCTCTGGGCCTGAGCTCGTTTAAGAGGGACTGAGGCGAAATGGTGAAAAGCTGTGTTGTTTGTAAATCATGGACGCCACATCCTCTGGGCTAAAGAGGAGAGGGACCATCCAGCTTGATATCAGTATATAAACTCCTCAATAAAAGTTTGGAAACGTTATTTTGGTCAATTATTTTGTGTTATTGGTGTTGTATTATACATCGTTGGAAAGTCTGATTAGTCACCTTTATAACGAGGTATAACTTGTAAGGATCGTGGAAAGAGCAACACAGCTAAACGTGTGGGTAGTGCCCAAAAACATTTTGCCAAAATCCCCTGCAATATTCTTTTTTTAAAGAGTCCAGGTGCTACACTGGCCTGCCTGCATTCCTGACATCACCCATCAAAATATTTGGCGCATAGTGAAATGTAACAGTACAAAAAGGAGACCCTGAACCGTTCAACAGCTGAAATCCTACTCGAAGCAAGAATGGTAAATTCAACTTTCAGAATGACATTAGTTAATCTCCTCAGGTCCCAAACCCTAACAGAGTAGAAGAGGTGATGTAAAAGAAATTGGTCAACATGAACGTGTGCAATGTGTATACAACAATTATGATTTGTGTGTTTGTGTGTGTGTCCACATGCAGGGTCTGAAAGTGATAGACTTTCAAATGCCAGACTACCTGCATATACTGGAGAATGCCATCCAGTTTGGGAGTCCTGTTTTGCTGCAGAATGTCCACGAGGAGTTGGAACCCTCTCTCAACCCAGTTCTTAACAAGTCCCTTACACGGGCAGGTCAGACTCTCACACATCAACCTTTCATCATCATCAACATACACATACAAATACACACAACTCAGATACACACACAAATACATATTAATGCACAGATTACATATCTTGGGTAAAAATCAGATACAAATGAGCCGTGACAGAATCTATTGTGTACCACATTGTGGTGTATAATTGTGGTCATTTTTTCCAGGCGGCAGGCTGCTATTGAAGCTTGGTGATAAGGAAGTGGAGTATAATCCAGAGTTTCGTTTCTATATCACCACCAAACTCTCAAACCCCCACTACACACCAGAAATTTCTACAAAGACCACCATAGTCAACTTTGCTGTCAAGGAGCAGGTGTGTGCATGTGTTTCTATGAAGTATGCCTTCCCCATGTGAACTCACTATTTTTAACTTTTGTTTGTGTACATCATCATTTTGTGTACAGAGTCTAAGCTGCTACCTTAATTATCTGTTTGTGTTTGGAATTGATTGTGTGTTTTGTTTGTGCTGCAGGGCCTTGAAGCCCAGCTACTGGGAATTGTGGTGCGTAAGGAGTGTCCAGAACTAGAAGAGCAGAAGGACTCTTTGGTCATCAGCATTGCTTCTGGAAAGAAAAGCCTGCAGCAGCTGGAGGATGAGATTCTCAGGTTGTTAAACAGAAAACACAATTAGAATCATGTGACTTATAATTTCAAGTAATGAAGTAGAAGCCATTATCACAGGTCATCTTTTTACTACATCAGTCCATTTTTTATATTGTAAAGCAGATTTTGCTCTTTTTTTTTTTTTTTTTAAGTCCAATGAAAAAATAACATGTATAGAGTGAACCCTAAGGAGCTTGTAGTTGTGAATATTTGTCTTGGTCCATCATGCTTAGGGTGGCAGTGTTCTGGTTAGAGGTTTTTGTAATGTGTTATATGTTTTCATGTCTACTTTGCCAGGCTGCTTAATGAGGCGACTGGCTCTCTACTGGACGATGTGCAGCTGGTGAACACCCTGCAAACATCCAAAGTCACAGCCACTGAGGTTTCAGATCAGCTGGAGAGCAGTGAACAGACCGAAATAGAGATTGATTCTGCAAGAGAGGTCAGTGTATAGATGAATGGATTTAAGGATTGTGTCACTTTAACTTGTGACGGGTGTTATTATTATTGCATACTATGTATGTGTGTATGAAAATGATAAGGGTTCAACTGCATGCCAGTTTGTGCCTACAGTGTAATAATTATAAATATAATTGTCGCCCTCAAGCCTCAACAATTTGAAAAAATTGATTTTCTAAAAACAAACTTTACAACTGTTAGAACAGGTAAACCTCACAGGTAGCCCGTGAAGGGAAGCAGGGACAGTTGTAATGTGGTCTATGTACCTGTTTGTAAAGCTTCGACTGCTTTCTCTTAACAGGCCTATCGCCCGTGTGCCCAGCGAGCCTCCATTCTCTTCTTCATCCTCAACGATATGGGCCGCATCGATCCAATGTACCAGTTCTCACTGGATGCCTACATTAACCTGTTTAACCTCAGCATTAAAAAAAGCAAGCGCAGCCAAAAGCTGGAAGAAAGGATTACCAACCTCAATGACTACCACACATATGCAGTATACAGGTGAGGAAGAATTCATCAAGAGATACCTTTTCATAATATAAGTCTGCATGCAGGTTTTCTTGATTGAGTGTATTCTTGACAGAACAGTGTTCAAAGTCCAGCTATATAACTGTCCTGTGAAAAATGGTGGATAGACGTTTTTTTTCTTTTCAACCTTTACAGGCAAAACACAATTTGCCTCTCAATCAGCCATTTTTTCGCTCTTCCTGACTCACTTTTTTCAAACTGTCAAATAAAAAGTAAAAATGTTAAAATGCTCTTCTCTGGTATCTAATGCATGGAAGGTAAAACAACTTCCTGAGATTTAAAATGGCAAGGGATATTTTTGTTGTTTTTGCAAGTTTGCTTTTTTTTTCCTCTTCAGGGTGTGGGGTTAGAAGAGTGTGTTGTTCTTTTTTTCTCTCTGTACAAATACAAATTTGTACCTTGTACTTCACATCTGTTGAAAAATTATATGTAAATCCCAAAACATTTAAATGAGATATGTTTTAGCATTGGAGCCTATTGCAAACAGTTAGACAAATAGACTATATCAGTGTGTTATCCTTTGCAGGTACACGTGTCGAGGTCTGTTTGAGGCCCACAAGCTGCTTTTCAGCTTCAGAATGTGTGCCAAAATCCTGGAGGTGGCTGGCAAACTCAACATGGATGAGTACAGCTTCTTCCTACGAGGAGGACTTGTAAGAAAACACGGGGGGGGATACAAAGTATCAATACTATCATTCTCCACCACTACATTTGCTGCTGTCAAGTTACATGCTGTACACTGATGAGTTGTTAAGTCTTATTAGTGATGCACTGATCCCTGGAGGAATAGTTAATTTAAGCATGACTTTTGTAGGTTCTTGATAAGGAGGATCAGATGAACAATCCATGTACCAGTTGGCTGACAGACTCCTGCTGGGACAACATCACAGAGCTGGATAAGCTTCCAAATTTCAAAGGCATTATGACCTCCTTTGAACAGCATCCCCTAGACTGGAACCATTGGTTCACCAGTGCTGAGCCAGAGAATGCCACACTGCCAGGTTTGAATGTGTTATGGAGCTTTGATTTTGCTTTAGTACTTATTGAACCTTAGCAACAGTGAGGGTAAAGTGTTGGAAGGTTGGATTACTGTTATATGAACAGTATGGGACAGTTTGAACTGTTGTCCATGCTGCTGTGCATTGAAATATTTCAGATTTACACTCAAGTACAAAGTCTGACAGCAGAAAACATATAATGCTCTCTCTCTCTTTTCATTTTAGGTAATTGGAACCGCTGTAATGAGCTGCAGAAGATGTTGATTGTTCGGTCGTTGCGTCAGGACCGTGTCTCTGTGTGTGTCACCTCCTTCATTGTAAACAACCTGGGCTCACGCTTTGTGGAGCCACCTGTTCTTGATATGAAGGCAGTGAGTGTTAAACATTTAATGAATATGGTTTGCTCTGTTTTGAGTTTTAATTCAGAGGTTGTCATTTTTTGGTTAGTTTTTGAGTGAGTTACATCATGTTTGGTAATTGGTTCTCATGTTACGAGTTGAGAAATCCAAGAGGAGGACCCAGATGCAGAACCAAAAATGATTTAATTAAACAAAAAACTCACTTCAGAAATCCAAACACAAGAAAACAAGTAGCCATGAGTAAACTCACTTACAATACCTACAACATACATACAACAATGAACTGACATGGAAGGGCAGAAACACAGAGACTAAATACACAGGGGAATCAGACACAGGTGAGACTAACAAGACACAGGTGAGGGCAATCACACAGGGAAACACACAGAACTCAAGAATGAAACACTAAAAACACACAGACAGGAATACAAGAAACACAGAGGACAACTACAAACTAAATCATGAAACACTAAACACTGAAAAACCAAACTAGAAAAAGACCAAACCATAACATCTCATTTCTTCTGTCCTCTCGCCAGGTTGTGGAAGAATCCACATGCAGGACTCCTCTGATCTTTGTGCTGTCTTCTGGTGTGGACCCAACAGGAGCCCTGTTGCAGCTTGCTGACGCCTCTGGCATGAGCAATCATTTCCATGCTCTGTCTCTGGGTCAGGGGCAGGCCCCCATTGCTAAGAGCATGATAGAGGAGGGTGTCAAGACTGGTACAATACCATCTTTGACTTTGCTCTTCTATTTCTTATTTGTTTTGTTGCTTAGCCGTATAAATGTTTTACTCCAACCACTTGTTTTTTCAAAACTTGTCATATTAGCTTTACTAACCTTTTTTTGTCTTCCTTTAGTTCACAAAAGATAACCTTGGTACTCAAAAACAACTAGGCATGACATCAAATATCTAACAAAGACATCAATGCAACCTGCGCCTTCTTTTTCTGCCCAGGTCACTGGGTGTTCCTTGCCAACTGCCACCTTTCTCTCTCGTGGATGCCTGAGTTGGACAAGCTGGTGGAGCAGCTACAGGTGGAAAAGCCAAACAAAAACTTCAGACTCTGGCTGAGCTCTTCCCCACATCCTGAATTTCCCATCACCATACTGCAGGCTGGCATCAAGATGACCACTGAACCACCAAAGGTGCAATACTCACACATGAGGATTTCAGAAATTAGCCGTTTACTATAAAAGCATACATAAATGTTATCCATCACAATAGATCCACATGTTTTATCCTTTGTATATTGGATGTATGCACCTTCATATATTGTATGGTAAATATGGTAATTCAACCCTCCCCAGTTTTAACACTGCCCTCTTTGTATCTAGGGTATAAAAGCCAACATGAAGCGTCTCTACCAGCTGGTGACCGAGGATCAGTTCAACCGCTGTTCAAGACCTGTCTTATACAGGAAGCTGCTCTTCTCCCTCTGTTTCTTTCACAGCATACTGCTGGAGAGGAAGAAGTTTTTACAGCTGGGATGGAATATAGTCTATGGCTTCAACGATTCTGACTTTGAGGTCAGAACTTATCTGATACTAAAGGAAACAGAGAGAACTGGAAAAAAAAAGGGAAAACGGGGGTGGGGGGTATTGTACGGTTATGGTGTTGGTGGTGACAACACCTAGATGACGTCTTGATTGCTATGCTATGAAAATTGCTATGTTGAGGTTGTGGTTGGGTGGGGATAATTGTAATAATTCAATCATTACTTGTCATTTCAATAATCATATCTGACACAAATATAGACTTTAAGTGATTGACAGAGCTTTTGAAGAGTGACATGTGAAACATGACAACCTAGTTTGAATGAAACTGAATTCATCTAACTTCCTACTCAATCTGTTTGAACTGTTTTTGTGTAATATCCACATCACAGAGTATTAACTTGACCATAGTCTGTTTCTTATCTCATTATCTTCATATCCCCCTAGGTGAGTGAGAATCTGTTGAGTCTGTACCTGGATGAGTATGAGGAGATTCCATGGGATGCACTGAAGTATCTCATTGCTGGGGTCAACTATGGAGGTCATGTGACAGACGACTGGGATAGACGTCTTCTTACCACTTACATCAACGGCTACTTCTGTGACTCTGCAGTAGACCAGCCCTTCTTTAAGTGAGACACGTTCAACACACACACACACACATGCAGTGGTTGGCAGTGCTGATGTCAGAGACATTTAGATATATTTTGTGGCTGAATTTCAATTGCCTACTGAAGCCAACTGTCATAATGTGACAGCTCCACCTAGTGGACAATCAGGGAAGAAGATACTCTTTGCACCTGAGCACTAGCAAGATCCCTTAGTCTTCTATTGAGTAAGTGTTATGACTTGTGCAAATGCTGCTTTGTTTCAAGCCATCTTTTTCTTTTCTTTCAAAGGTCTTTTTATTGAAAGATAATAACAGAAAATAGCTTTTACTGTACAGGGAAATATTTTTATTTTCTTATCCCCCACCCACCCTTAACAAAAACACTCATACATGTCGCAAAACATCCAAACATGAGACAAGCCTAATCCAGACAACAAACAACCACAGCTGTACCTAAAAGTCAGCCATCTTTTTCTAAGACTCGTCTATAAATTGGGGCTCACAGTATATCTGACTGACTTTGTATTCTGTCTTCCCACTTTATGTTTCAGGTTGTCCTCCTTAACCTCCTATTACATCCCCCGCGATGGTCCCCAGTCCTCATACAAGGAACATATCAGTATGCTGCCTTCCACAGAGCACCCTGAGGTGTTTGGCCAACACTCTAATGCAGATATAGCCAGCCAGATCGCAGAGTCCAGGACACTGTTTGACACCTTACTCTCTCTGCAACCCCAAGTCACCAGTCCCACTGCTGCAGGGGCCGGGCCAAGTAGAGAAGAAAAGGTGAGTGGGGGGTTGTAAGGATGAAAATGACTAGTTAAATGGAAATATATGACTTATAAGAATTATAAGATTATGATTATTAATAGTTGAACAGTAAGCAGGGCCATAGACAGAATCTAAAGATTATGAATGGATCATAAACATGTCACAGCTTTTGAAATTGTAATTGTCTGTCCACATACATATAAATATCATAACCCTTTAAGGCATTAAACTTAAGTTGCTGTCAGTAATATATTAGAAGCAAATGCCAAATCATTTTGAAGACCAGCATTAATGACATCTGAATGTATTATATAAAAAAGGATTATTAGATTATCAAAAGTGATCCATAAAAGTCATTTAATTGCTCAAGATGTATTAATGGTATTTGATATCAGCAATGATGAATGTTAAAGATGATTTCCAACAAGTATTTCATTATCAGTTTATTATGGATGTTTGCTTTTGACCTGACAGTGGACACCTTGAAGGGTTAAATCCTGCTTATACCTTGGTTTAAAAAAATATAATGCCATTATCTTTTAATGTTTTCAATAAGATTATTTTTAAGTTTTTAAATAGGCACGACTACTTACCTACTTATCTGAGGTTTGCCAAAGTGCTTGACTGAATACTTCAAAAAGCCACTCCCATTAAGTTCTAATGCCATGGGATTTCTTTTTACTGCTGCTGTAAGTATAACAGCAACAACTCAGCAAACTAGAGCATCTTTGAGACAGAAAGCTAACTGTATGCTTACAAGGCTCAGAGTTAAATATATTGCATTAATTTGATCTGAACAAAAATTGGTGCTGATGGATGATGTGCATCCTCCTATCAATAAACCTTTTAGTGATATTTGTGATTATGGGAGCTGTTTTTTTTTCCGAGAAGACAAAAGGGTTATCATCAACAGTCCTACAGTAGGAACTAATAAAGGTCCAACTTGACTTGATGCAGCTTTAATATCTCATTCTGGGGGCCGCAGTAGCTCAGTCTGTAGGGACTTCGGTTGGGAATCGGAGGGTCGCCGGTTCAAGTCACAGACCAAGTCCGGAAACTGGCCTGGTAGCTGGAGAGGTGCCAGTCCACCTCCCAACCACCGCCAAGGTGCCCTTGAGCAAGGCACCCAACCCCCCCACCAGCTCATGAGCGCCCACTGTGGGCAGCCCCCCCTGTCCATAGGATCCTGTTTGTGTGGCATGTTTACTAGACAGAGTGTAAAAACGAATTTCCCCTCACAGGATCAATAAATTATTGTTATTTTAAACGTGAGTGCAGTGCATTTATAAGTTAAACTGTCTCATCTTCTGTTGTAAAACATGTCATTGATGTTTGAAGGTATTAGAGCTGCTGTCAGATGTTCAAGGGAAGATCCCAGCATTGATTGACTTCGAGGGCACCCGGTCGTTGCTCCAGGACAACCCTTCACCTCTTAATGTGGTCCTTCTGCAAGAAATCCAGAGATACAACGCACTACTGAACACCATCATGTAGGAACTATCGTGTGTGTGTGTGTGTGTGTGTGTGTGTGTGTGTGTGTGTGTGTGTGTGTGTGTGTGTGTGTGTGTGTGTGTGTGTGTGTGTGTGTGTGTGTGTGTGTGTGTGTGTGTGTGTGTGTGTGTGTGTGTGTGTGTGTGTGTGTGTGTGTGTGTGTGTGTGTGTGTGTGTGTGTGTGTGTGTGTGTGTGTGTGTGTGTGTGTGTGTGTGTGTGTGTGTGTGTGTGACATTTACAAATGTCTTGGCAGGCAAAACTAAAATAATACTCAAAGAAGAGAAGGTAACCACAGTGTGTTGTTTTTGTGCATTTCATGTGTTAGTTCGTCCCTGGTGGAGCTGGAGAAAGGGATCACAGGCTTAGTGGTGATGTCATCAAGCTTGGAGGAGATCTTCCACTGCATCTATGACGCCCGTGTACCACCACTGTGGGAGAAGGTGCAAGACATACACACACTCACCAACAAACAGCAGCCAAAATATCACACTTCACAGGCGTCCTTCAAAGTCATATTTTGTGGTTGAACTTAATTAACACCATTACAGTATGTGCAGGTGCTTTCATTTATTCCTTACTTATCTTTTTCTTAGCGTGATGAGATTTTAGAGAGTGGACTCGCTACACAAAGTAAGACGGCTGAAGTCAATAGACAACTTCTGACTACCTCTTAAGTACTTTTAGATAAACTTGAGCAAATTCATAGTTTCATCCTGATCCAACAAGAGTTTCACCTTTCTGGGTAACACTTTTCCTATCAGTGGTAGAAGCTATAATATTTCTGTACGACTTGTAAAAACGTGATCAACCACGATTATTGTGATCGACTATTGGTGGGCACAATACTTGATGAGGTATATTCTCTTTGCAACAAATTATACTGAATTTTCCGCTCAGCAGAAACTCAACAGAGAACATTCTATCTATTCTTTCTCTTAAAGCAGTCACACTGCTGCGGGCCTGTCCCTGTAAATTCTAACCATTTTTAAAGTTGTATTTATCCATCACTCTGCATGGAGACAGACACACACACTCTTATTGTTCTCCTGTGTCCAACTGCAGTCACACACACACACACACACACACACTCACAGAGTTAGTTGGCACAGCTGTGGCAGGACTCCAGTTGTAATTTTGTCAACACTTAAAGCTGGAGGAGAGAATACAAGGTTGTATGGCTAGAAAACAGTACACATGGGGGGGGGGAGGGGGCAAGGGTCATTCAGTAGTTCATTTTCTGTTTTTCAAGTGTCTAATTAAGTTTTCATAAGAGGCTTTGCATGAAAATGTACTGCAAACGCATGTGTTTGTTTTTGTGTGCGTTTGCCTTGTTTTTTTTCATGGGGTGTAGCTTACCTCAGCCTATATAGGGCTGAACAAAGCCAGCATCTGGGGACTAATCCATACAGTTAAAAGCAATGTACCTTCCAGGGCTGGCTCCACTTTCTGAAAAAGGACCTTGAGCTCATTGTTACTTAGCCAACAGCTTATTACAGTACAATGTATGCACATATGGTGTGTTTGTTTTGATTTCCTTTCTATGAGTAGTGGACAGCTATCAGGACTGCAGCCTCCAGCTCAGCCTTTTCATTCTACTGACCACGAAGCTAGACAACTTGCCCTGTTTCTCTATGTGCATATTTTGAATTACTCACTGTCTACTTCATCTTCATTAGCATGACATTCTTTCTCTATCTTCCATCAAGTGTTCCATCTCTTCTGCTCTTTTCTACGTCTTTATGTCTCGTCTGGTCTAAGCAGCAACAAGAAGTCCTGCTTATTTATCCCTCCATCCGTTCATCTCTCCGTTCTCCGCCTTTCCTTGGCATGGCAGCCTCTCATTAGTTCTGAACTCACAGACTCATGGCATTATGTAATTGTGTTTTTGTACAGAGCTCTGGTGATTCAGTTAGCGTTTTAAAATCTGTACAGCATATGTACATATCATTTTTATTTATTTAAGATGTGCATATCTTTTACGCAAAAGTATTACAGGTAACATGTCACTGATTCCATTCATGCTCATTTTCCAGTGAGAGGTAAATATATAAAAAGGATCCCAGGAACCAGACAAATCAGAAAGCTCATGTTTCATTTTTTTGATGGTGAATTTAACCCCCTCCTGCTTCAACAGTTTCCAATCCAGCCTTATAAAGGGGAAGCCAAGCGTAGCAATTCATCTATATAAATGATGCAAAGTCATTTTTGTAAACAAACAAAAAAGATGACGATTGCTGATATGTAACATTCTGTCACTGCTTCAGTATTAAAAGAATGACAGTTTTTTACATACTATGGAAAGTTGTGGATACTAAATTATTACTGGTCAAATGTCTGTGTATAAGGATCAACTAAGTGCATTATAAAAGGTTGGAACTAGTGCTTTGCAACCTCTGCCTTCCTCACATGTGTAACTGCTCATATTGGTTTCAGTGTCTTGTTGGTCTGTACCAGTTAAGAGGGCTCTGGGAATCAGAAACTAAACATAGAAGTTACATCATATTATGTACAAATTGGACGGGCTTACATCCCCTTTAATGTCTTTAGGTCATCAACTGAGGCTGTGCATTTATGTATGGTAGACTGTGTCTAGATGGAAAGGGTGAGGCAGGTAGCATAACACATCATAAGAGCAGATAGAAAAGATTTGCATGTAACAAAAACTTGGGAACCAAATTAGAGATGTGAAACGTATGTCAGAACAAGACTAAGACCCTAACCCCTTACTCAATGCTAGATCTGCAAAGACAAGCATTCCTGAGGCACAACAGCCAAGTTCCTCTTTCTTTCACCTTTAGCATAGAAGACTCCTGATTGGCTGCGGACCAGCTCAAAGCAGCTCAAATATTCAGACAATAGACGAGTTTCCAGGCTTAAAGCAGTGGGTATGAATAGGACCATGGTTAGTGCAAAGACGCCTGAATGAAAGTGACATTAACTCAGAAGATATTTTAATTAGCCTTCAGCCGTACTGTTATGCAGGTTGAACTCAGTTTCCGTTCTTTTGTTTTCGTTTTCAAACATGGTAAGACTACAAGCATTGAGCAGATTTTGACGAATGGAGTAATTAAGACTTTAAAGTCAATGGTGGGGGGGGTAACAATAATGTGCAACTCTCAATGTTCACAAGAGATGAAAGACCAAAAAAGATTCTTATTATCCCTGAAAGATTTAAGAAAGCAGAGGATATACATACAGTTTGTCTTTTTGCCAACAGATTAAATGTAAATCTTTCAGAATATAAATGGCACTGCCTTTGTTTCTATATCGACTTGAACTGAATGATTGGACTTATAGGAAAAATCATTATTTCTTCCTTTACTTGTATTTGACTCTGAATATTTCACTGTGTGTGATATGACAGATTATGTAAGAATAGATCTTCTGAGGTTATCTCGTCAATATTAAATCAGCAAAAGGTTTCATATTAAGATCTCACCTCACTTCAAATATCCACACATTTCTCCCAAATCCTTTCTGTATCCAGCTACATGTTTATAGAGACCAGTAATACTGTACTGGACAAAACCTGCTCCCATTATGAGCAGCTACCATCAGCTGGTGAACATGGAATGACTGTAGAATTGCCTTGTGTCTCTTTTTCTGTCTCCTTCACTCTCTTCTATATGTCATTATGTCTAACAGGCTTACCCCTCCCTGAAGCCCCTGGCAGCTTGGACCAGGGATCTTTCCCAGCGAGTCACTCAGTTTGCACGCTGGGCTGAGACGGTTCAGCCCCCCACCTTGTTCTGGCTTTCTGGCTTCACCTTTCCAAACAGTTTCCTCACTGCTGTTCTGCAGTCCTCTGCTCGACAGAACAATGTGAGTTCACACAATCCTATACACGCAGAAGAAAACAGATATAGTAACACCACAGCAGGAAGCTGTATTTTAACTTATAAAGCACATGATTCTAAAACAAGTTTAAAATGTTGAAATATGATCATCAGGATTACTGTATGTGCATCACCAACAATAACAATAAAAACTCCTGTAACACCCACTGGTGATCAGATATTAACTGAGGTCATCCCCTTGTATTTTCAGAAATCTTATCCTACCTAACATTCTTTTCTGATGTTTTTATTTTGGAGTCCATACATTTATCTAGGCTCTGAATGGATCTTACAGCCAACCACCACACAGTTTAACATTACACATAATAACTTACATTATTCATCTAATGATAAACTTTTGTTCATGCCTGTTAGTCACAATGTCTCTTCGAAACTCTTTTGCAGATTTCAGTGGATACTCTGTCTTGGGAGTTTGTAGTGTCCACTGTAGATGACAGCAACCTCCTCTCCCCGCCTAAGGTGACTCCTTATACACAAATGTCTCTTTCATTTGAATTTTCATTCAAAGCAGGACACTTTATACCTCTGTCTTCTTCTTTTCCTTAAATCTGTTCTTGCATTTTAAATAGATGCATGAGGCAGTTTTACAACTCAAATTTAGACTTTGACTTTTCCTCCTGTCCTTATTTTGTTTTGTTTTATTTCTTCCTTCACTTTCATTTTCTACCCATGTCCTTTCTTACCTCCACTCCTGTGCATGTATTCAAACATTCTGAGAGTACTCCAAGAGAGCGATCCCTAATGAGATCCACCATAAACATGATCCCTGCACGATCCCATCTGTAGCCTTAAATGAACTCACTGTCCTTCAGTGTTTGGAGAACATTTCTTCTATCCGTCTTCACGTTGCTTGAGAAACTGTTGAGTCTCTAAAAAGTCCTCCTCACTACTCCTAACTGTTTATCACCTGGGGAGCTCTCTTGAAGGGGAAAACAGCTTTGTGAATAACGATTATCTATACCAGGATCTTGTGTTAACTTTAAGAGGAAATTATTTTTTTTAAATGTCACTGAGAAACCTTACTTTTCATTATGTCCTATATATCTAACTCATGTTCATCCATCTCTCTTTCCTCCTTCCTCATTACACCTCCCATCTCCCTTGTTTTCTACCTCTTCTTTGTCCATCATATTGCATTATCTTATTGAAATGTCTCACCCCCAAACAGGAGTCAGCTTCACAGTTCCCTGATTGTCCTCTCCTTTATGTTCTTGTTTTTCTGCTTCTCCACATCCACCCTTTAGGATGGGGTATTTATCCGAGGTCTGTTCCTGGAAGGGGCTGGTTGGGACAAGAAGAACTCTTGTCTGGTAGAAGCAGAACCAATGCAGATGGTCTGTCCCATTCCAACCATTAACTTCAAACCTGTGGAAAACCGCAAGAAGATGTCCAAGAGTGAGTCGTTCTAGACTTTCAAACCGAAATGTTCTACTCTATTCCACCAACTGTCTTCCTTAGTCATGCCCAATGTCAATCAACCAATCAGTCAGTCAATCACTCAATCAATCAATCAACCAACCAATCATCAATCAATCAACCACCACCACCAACCATCAATCAATCAACCAACCAACAACCAGTCAGTCAATCAATCAACCAACCATCAATCATCCAACCAACCAACCAATCTTTATTGGTGTTGTGCCAATTCAAAACAAATGTTATCTGAAGACCCATCATGAATCCATCATGAGCACAGCACTAAGCAAGAGTTCCTTTGAGATCAGAACCAGACTAACTCTGTCTTTGTCCCTCTCTGTTTGTGTTCAGGTATGTACCTGTGTCCGTGTTACTTCTACCCAGTTCGATCGGGCGGGGCAGGCAGAGCTTCTTTTGTGGTCAGCATTGAACTCAAATCTGGAGCTGTGACCCCAGACCACTGGATCAAAAGAGGAACTGCACTTCTACTGAGCCTAGACAACTAAGGGACTATACACACTCACACATTGACTCTTTTTTAATTATTTTTACATTTTTAAAGGCTACAAGGCCACAACAGAGGATAAATGACATGTTGATTCTGTAACTTCTCTTCACATGCAAGGTAACAGTAAAAGTGCTGAGTCACTCCTAAAGACATTTGAGTTGGTCTCTTTCTGGTCTGGTTTGTTTCTCTCTTTGTCTTATTTTCATTATGTCAGCTTAACGATAAGTCACCTCATAACAGACCTACATCAGCCTTTCCATGCGGACATAGACACAGGCATACACCGGGGATAGTCTCCTGCTGTGAGGTGGAACCTTGCTTCTTTGTAACATCTGGATAAAGTTACTGTCTGCTCATGTAAGGGTCTCGATGTGCTCATTGAATCTTTGACAAAACACTTCAGAAAAAATACAGCCACACAATATCTCCTCTGACATAAATGAGAATGAATGCTTCAGTTATTGAAAAAAAAAACATATTTTCCTTATTTGTGTGAAATATTGCTTCTGTCACGGATCGAGAAAACTGAGAGGAGGACCCAGATGCAGAGCTAACAAAAAATACTTATTTAAACAAAAAGGCCAAAGGCAAACGCACAACTTACTTAAAGGAGAAAACTAACCATGAGGAAACCACAGGTAGTACTAGAGCATGAGGAAAACAGCCATCTACTGACATACAAACATCTGACATAACTACAATGAACTGACATAGAAGGGAAGAAACACAGAGACTAAATAGACAGGGGTAATCAGACACAGGTGAGACTAACGACACAGGTGAAGACAATCAGGACAATCACACTGGATTTTTTTCTACTCACTGTCATTGCAAAATTTGCACATTTTGAGGCACTTTGAGACACTGCCTATTGACAAGCAGCACCTCTGTTTACAGGGGTTGATGTTTAAAAAAAACGTGTCTGTATTGATTTTGTGAAGTATAAAGGTAATTCATAACTAGATAATTTGCATTTACCTGCGGAAAATGCGTGTGAATGCTGACGGCTGAAATGTTTTGCAAAACACTGCTGAATGAAGAAGAATAAGCAGAAACAGCTGAAGGAATAGTAGAAGATGAAGAAAAAGTAGGGAAGAAACACAGAGACTAAATACACAGACTAACAAGACACAGGTGAGGACAATCAGGGCAATCACACGGAAACACACAGAGGCAGGGGAAAACATCTCCCTATTGGGTGCTCATTTCAAGGGCTTAAATTAAGAGTTGGTGGGTAAATGATGATTTTGTGAGCAAGAGGACAAATGGCCGAACGCGTTGATGTGATTTTTATGTCTGGGGTCCAAGAAATGTGGAAACCACAGCGATTTAAAAAGTTAGTCCCAAGAGGTTTGGTCAGTGAAGTCAGGCTGAAGTTTAACATTAGCCCAGATGGAGATTTCTCTGGACCACCTGCCGCTTTAAAGCTCACAGTAAATAATAAATTATAAATAATAATACATTTTTTGGAATAACAATAGTGTGAATGCTGGAAGCAAATGAGGGGCGTGGCTGATCTGACTGATGGGTGGGAGAATTGTAGCTGTTTGTCAGAAGGCTTAAGGTCCACCTCAGATCCAGCTCTTTGCCTGACCAAAACTTCCTTATATTACGCATTCCCTTCTCTTTCCACTTAGCTTTTTCTTGGACACATCTCACCTGCCCTTTTTGCATCAAACCATCCATGTTCTCCATGTGTCAGAACTTGTTCTTCACATAGCCCCCTCTTCGGTTTTTCCTTTACACAACCACCTGCTTTAAAAGCTGTTTGTGCAATCTGTCCCTGTTTTTACTGTTTTTACTCTACTCCATTATCCATGTGGTTCACTCTGTGTTTCTCTTTGATTGACTCTGATGAAGAAATAGCTCCAGAGATTCTCAGTTCTTGACTTTAATTTGAAAACTGTATCAACTGTAAACTGTATGTATAAATGAAATCAGTCCTCAAACTCTGTTAGGTTGAGGCTCACTTGACAACCCAGAAGCTCACTAAATGCTAACACTGTTTACTATTAATTGCCAAAGTGAGTTACACCACATTGGCTCATTCATTTTCACCTTCTTTATCCTTTCCCTGGGTTGTTAAGGAAACTACTTCCAGGACTCCTCTGATCTGTTTTCTGTCTCTGGGTCTGGACCTCACAGGAGCTCAGTTCTCTATAGCATGAGCAAGACCTTCCATGCTGTTTCTCTCAAGGCCAGAACCAGTCTACATTTGCCAAAAACATGACAGACAAGGGCATGAAGAACAAAATAAGACCATCTTTTTTCTACCTCCCTTACTGCTCTTCTGTCTCTGATTTATGTTGTTGCATAGCAGTGTGTTTTCTTCCCCTCAAATGTTTCTTGTAGTCTCAAGTGTCATTTGTGCTTGACAAAGTGCACAAAATACTTCATGAATATTTGATTGATTTGGTTTATTCAGACGAATCTATTGCTTCCTGCATCGACCCACTGTTCCCCTGTTCGCTCATGCTCATCAGCATGATTTGCAGCTATTTATTATACCAGTAGAGGACTGACTGTCACTTTCTATGGTTTGTTGCTTTTCAGACACACCTCTCTGTAACAAGGGAAATGTCACTTACATCAAACAATTTGTTTGTTTGGGGAATTTTTATTTTCTTCCTTCGATTCATTTTCTTCCTTCCATATCCTCCTGCATCTTTACATCTGATAATGACCTGGGCACAAGTGACACACAGGTCAGTTCTTGATAGATGCACGCATATGTTTGTTCAGAATTCAGAGACACAGTTCAAACAGGTTTTCACCACTTATTCTCACTTTGTGTGGTGAGGAGAGTCTATTTCCTGATTCTTCCTGTTTGGTGCCTAAGTAGACACAGTGCTACCTAGAGGAGGGATTACAAATCGATTTAAGTTAAAAATTAGATTCTTCTCTTCTAAGATTTAAAATCGATTCATAACTTCCAAAAAATATTATTATTTATTATTTTTTTTGGGAGGGGCTAATCAGTCACTCCCTGCTAAGTGCTAAGGCTAGCTATTTAACTCAGTAGAATGCAGAGCAACAAGAACTTCAGCCAGTCTCACAGATGACTGGAGTAGATCCGGAACTATGCACCAATTCATAAATAGATTTTGAATCCAGAATCTTTCTGAAAATCAAAAATCAATTCTGAATTGTGAGACGCCTAAAGATTCCCAGCCCTAGTGCTAACCACTCTTTTTGTTAAGATAGCTTGATTGCTGGATTTATACAACAAGTTACTGCAAGTTCATTGGCCTTGCCTTGACTGCTACACTCTGTACATTATGTGCTTGATTGGATAATGAGCTCCCTCATTCATTTTGAATAAAGGCAAAACAAGGACAGAGGTTAGATAAGTACTTCATGTTCCAAAACACGTGTATGGAAATAATCTATTTTAAATATGGTGGCCCAGTGAATAAATAAACAGCATTTAGTGTGTTAGAAGGTTTCTTGATTCCTATACTTCCTCACTGTATGTTCCCACACTGTTAGTCTTCTTTATACATTTGTCCCCTTTGTCCTGGATGGCTGATCAGCTAAAGATCCAAAAGTGAAACACAAGCTTCAAAAGTCTCCACTTAAATGTAAGAAAATATTACAATTTAAATGGAAAAATTTATGGAAGACTTCTAATACCGGAGGAAACGAATAAGCAGTTACAATCATTGGCATATCTGCCATCAGATAGGCCATCGTCAGTACAATACAGTTGTTGGTGGGCACACATGCTGACGGATTGGGTGCCGGTGATGAGGTAATGGTTATGGCTGTGGCAACTGCACAGAATTCATTCAGTGCTGATGCCTTTTGTCAGTAATCTGCATTAAAACACATTGTAGACTTAACTCAGTCAGAAAGGCCTTTTTATAGCCTGTCAGACTGACGGCCAGTTAGACTAATGAAAAATGACAAAGTACTTAAAATGTGCTCACAGACTTCTTGTACAGTCTATTTTTACTGTTCTGTCTTTACTGCAGCCGAGCATTTTTATTTGCCTTTTAAAAAAATCTTTTAATTAGAATTAGAAATATGACTGGTAAGATCATTGCTGTGATTCTCCGTTATGTGAGCGATGGTAAACTGAGTCTGTACCTGGATGAGGATGAGGAGAGTCCCTGGGATGCACTCAAGTGCCTCATTGCTGGAATCAAATATGAAGGTCGTGTCAGATCATTGAGATATCTTCTAACCTCAAACATCAATGACTTCTTTGCAATGAGACCATTAACCTACCCCTCTTCAAGTAGAGACTGTGACGCACACACACTCACACATATTTTTCTACCACAGCTTATGTAAAAGAGTATAACGTCACTGGAAAAAGTTTCACCTCAAGTATGCAAATATGGGCGCATATGTGTGTAATATACTTTTTTGTCACAAGGTTTAACTTTGGATTTCTGCTTCAGATTCAAAATTTGTCCATATGCCTATAAAGGTGCTATCTGTAAAACTCTGTTTTCCTTTAAATATGTACAAGTTTGTATTTGTGTACTCAACTCATTGCTGCAGCTGAAGTTTGACAGAGGCCAGATGGTGGCAGAGTACCAGCACCACCATGTGGATAACAGGAGTATTACAGCCAGACAGATATAGACACATTGGCACCTTGATGAACACTGACACGAACACTTAGTCCCTTCTTTTTATTTATTTAACAACTTACACAAATGCACACAGGCACCCGTGTCCACTCGCTTCATTTCTAACCAAAGATGTTCAGAAGGGACAGGGATGGACATGCTGCTGGTAGAAGAAGTTATAATGCCATTTCTTTTGTTTAAAAGCAGACTTAAAAGAGACTTAAGGAATTTTTTCAGTTCATGTGATCCAGCTTTCATCAAGTGAAATAGATAACTCAGCTGTCAATAAACTATAAACACACATTAAGATTCAACCATGGCAACTGTTATTGCGATGTCTTATTTTTCTATTTTTCATATTTCAATTATTTTTGGGGAAAATAGATCAAGTTAAAAAAGTGAATCTCAGACAATGAGACCTCTACCTGGGGACCTCTAGTAATTTGTAATTAATGCGGAGGTCGTCTGTGATCTTCATCCCGTGCGAATCTGCCATGTCTGTAATTTGTAAAGTAAGAATTCCACTGCAAATTACCTAACATATTTCACTAAACACAGAGGTTATGTGATAATGTTAGTCCCGTGCGAATCGGCATCTCTGTGATTTGGGGTAGTTTTGGGGTTTTTTAAGGTTTTTTGTGTTCTCCGCACCTTTTTTCTGCCTTTTCCCGGTCCAGAATTATGGAGGCTGCATTGGCAATTATAAATGAAAGTTTTGACAGCATTTTGAGTGCACATTCAGGAGGCTCATCTAGCTACACAGCATGGAGACTCATTCACAGAAAGAGCAAACTCAAATCCATCAGAAGAGAGAAATCTCCAGATGATTAGATGGATTACATGCATGGAACATTTTTCTATCTTTTACGCATAGATTACACAG